GGGGGGGGATTAGCATCGGCCAGATATGGTAGCACACACCTATAATCCAACACCCAGGAGGCTTAGACAGGGAGGATCACAAGTTTGAGGCTAGCCTGGATCAAATAACAAGATTTGTCTCCAAAAAAAAAAAAGAAAGGAAAAAAAAAGTCATCAGTTCATCTTTATAGCTGTGTTTTGTTTTGTTTTTCTGGTACTGGGGATCAAACTTGGGTCCTTGAGCTTTGCGAGGCAGATGGTGGAACCACTGAGCTAAATCCCCGGCCCTTTACAGCTGTGTTTGAGAGAAATAGGTAGCAAAACACGTCTCCATTTTGTAAAGAAATATTGATGCCATTACTCAGATACATTGTACTAAATAGTTCTTAATATTTCACTGAACTCACTAAAATTTGAGCTCAACTATTCAGAAATATGTTCTTGGTTCTACGTGTATCGTCATAATTTATCTTTTTTCCTTGGACAGATCTCAAGATGAATTTGTTGTATCTGATGAAAACCTAGATGAAAGTGAAGAAGATCCACCATCTAATGATGATAGCGACACTGATTTCTGTAGCCGCAGACTAAGGCGACACTCCTCCCGGCCAATGAGGCAAAGCAGACGTTTGCGCAGAAAGACTCCAAAGAAAAAGTACTCTGATGACGATGAAGAGGAAGAATCTGAGGAGAACAGTAGAGACTCTGGTAAAAATAACTTGTATCTATTTTATACCAAGTCAGTAAATTTGTATGACTTCTGGAATTAAGTGCTCATAAATTCTATCAATTGTAATAAGCCTTCTGATAAAATTTTGAGTCCTTATGATTCATTATTAACTGAATTTTTTTCATAGAGCACATTGAGAAAATACTAGTCGATGTGTTAACTTTATACCAAATTCATTTAGGATTGTGGTGAATCCCTTTGGTACTATTCCCTTGCCTAACCTTTAGCTTCATAATGAGGTGTTTCTTCTTGTTTTGTTTGGTTTTTTGTTATCGGGGATTGAACTTGGGACCTTTCGGCTTTTGAGGCAGGTGGCGGAACCACTGAGCTAAATCCCCGGCCCTGAGGTGTTTTTTATTAACTGAATAGTGAGAAGCACAATAGCTGAATTAAAAGATAGGCATGCCTTATGTAATTGGCAAATAGGTAGCTGTCATCTTACTGAAGAAGTGCTGTAAACATGAGAATTGTATCTTTGACTCTGACCATATTCTGTGGGTTTTGTTTCCTCTTTTGCATATCTTCTTCTTTGAGTAAATGATGAAATCATGCCTCTTTAACAGTGACTCTTTCAAAAAATAAGAAAATTTTCTTATATAACCCACAGTACAGTTACCTAAATGAGAAATTTTAACATTGCTCATTCAGATTTTATCAAGTATCCCTACATTGTCCTTTATTTATATCTATTGTTTTTCTAATCCAGAATCTAACCTAGAATTACACATTCCATTTATTCATCGCAATTTAGTCTCCTTTAATCTGTAATATTCCTCAAATTTTGTTTTACTAATTTTGACTTTTCATCAAGGGGTACTGGGGATTGAACTCAGGGCTTCACACATGTGAGGCAAGCCACTCAGCTATATTCCTTACCCCTTTTTATTGTATTTTTAAATTTTGAGCCATATGACCAGGCATCCCATATTCTGAACATATCAGAAATACCTGATATCTTTAGTTATGCTGTTGTGGCTAACTCTGTGTCCTGAGGTGATTCAAAATGTTTACCAAAATGCCAGATCCAGTGAATAAGGTAAATGAGGACACTCCAGAATGTCTTCATGAGCCCGCCTTTACTTTGGATTGCACATGGCAGCAGCATTTTCTGTATTTTTGTTCATACCACTTAAAGAAACTCACAAAAGCAAACCTCCAGAACTGCTTCAGAAAGTGGAAGGAATGATGGGCTGTGTTTGAAGAGGGATGAATGTGCTTTTGCTGTAATAGTTTTAAAATTTAAATATTCACTGTATATTATGATTATACTTCGAATTTACCAACTTTGTCATACTTTTTATATTTATTACTCATTGTTCTGTGAGGAAAAATTTTTCTTTCTCTTATTTATATCAGTATATACTTGGCATTTATATTTTTTCAGTGGATAATACTATATTACCATCACTTTTTGGATTTGGTTTATCCAAGATTTGGCTAGTAAAACCACTTTAAACTATTGGCTAGCTCTTTTGAAGTGTTTGCAATTCATTAGGGAATAAGAAGGTAGAATGTAATAATTCTGCATAATTTGTAAACACTTCTGAAAAACAGCTCTTAGTTAAAACCAGAGTACCATTTTGCTTTATTGATCAGGGGTGACAATCATGCTATTTACCAATACTTTGAGAGGAAGTAGCCCTGTGTGCTTTACTTAGCAGATTTTCATTCCATATGGAGAAGAGTAAACAATGTAACTCTAATTTTGTACTTCTTTGGAATATGTAGGCTTAAGTTTTCTTTGGGTAGAGGGTTATATTATTAGCAGAGTAGCCCAAGCAGATTATTTGGAGGAAGATTCTGGTGACTGTCCACCAATAAGTGTTGTGTTAAGTATGTATGTGCCCTAGTAGCTCTAGGGTAAATAAAGATTTTTTTTAAATATATTAAAGGGCCAGGGATTTAGCTCAGTGGTTCCGGCGCCTGCCTCAAAAGCACAAGGACCTGAGTTCAATCCCCAGTACCAAAACAAAACAAAACAAAAAATATTAAAAACTTTTGTGTCTGTTACTAGGGATCAAGCCAAGGGTATATGATAGGGAAGGGTTATAGCACTGAGCTACATGTTAAAACATTTTACTTTGGGAATTAACTGGTAATAGTATATATTTGTGAGGTTTGGCATTAAAGGCCACCACAGATTGACTAATTAAAAAGAAACTAAAATTTTAAAAAGGTTTTTGTTCAGTTAGTTGTAGTGGTGCACACTTGTAATCCCAGTTATTTGGAAAGTGAGGCCAGGAGAATCACAAGTTTAAGGCTAGTCCAGGCAATTTAGTGAGACCTTACCTCAAAATAAAAAAATAAGAGTTTAGGATGCAGCTAAGCTTAAGAGGGCTGGGTTCAATCCTCAGTATGACCAAAATTTAAAAAAACAAAGCTATTATTCATCTAAAATTTTTTCACAACTATGCTGAGCTTTACATTTTTTATAGCCTATACTAGTTATAATTCTACTTAATGGACTTAAATTTTGTACTTCTTGTTCCTTTTTTTAATAGAAAGTGACTGTAGCGATGATTTTAGTGATGATTTTGTAGAAACTCGGCGAAGGCGATCAAGGAGGAACCAGAAAAGACAAATTAACTACAAAGAAGATTCAGAAAGTGATGGCTCCCAGAAGAGTTTACGACGCGGCAAAGAAATAAGGCGAGTTCACAAGCGCAGACTTTCCAGTTCAGAGAGTGAAGGTAAGCAGTAGACCTCCTACTTACATTAATATGGACAAGGCAGAAATAGATGTTATAAAACCAGGGTTGTGATTATGTACTTTTTTAAAAAGTCATACATAAAATCAGTGTCTTTGAGATAAATCTCATTTTGTTCCTGGTCACTAATAATAGTTTAAATAAAAGTCAATTGGTAAGATTTTGATTTTTTTAAGAACTTCATTGTAACCATTACTTTTTTTTTTTTTTTTGGTACCGGGGATTGAGCTCAGGACCTTGCGCTTGCAAGGCAGGCAGCAGAACCACTGAGCTAAATCCCTGCCTGGCCAACCATTACTTTTTTTAATTATTATTTTTTAATTTTTTTGAGACAGGGTCTTACTATGTAGTTCACACTAGCTCTGAACTCACAGGTGGCCCAGACTGGCCTCAAATTTGTGGCACTCCTCTTGGCTCAGCCTCCTAAGTACTGGGATTACAGGCGTGTGCCACCATACTTAGCTACTCAACTTTAAAATTTTCATTGAAACTGAGAGTCTTAGCAAATTGTAATCTGCTTTGTGGTTTATTCTGTTCCTTCCTTTTTTGTCTTCTTTTTCATGGCCCTCATTTTGAAATAACTATGCTCCAAGTAGCTGAACAGTTTCAAACCAAAGTGTCTATCATCTCTCTCTCCACCTTGCCTGTCAGTAACTGTTTTATGAAATAGTCTGGGCTGTGCCACACATGAGAAGTATAGGGAAAGCTGTAAAATATGAACTTGTCATATCCATTTAGTCTTTGTAATTATTACAGAACATTTCCTAAGTTTATTTGATTTGTAAATTTTCAAATTTTAATTTTTATTAGTACATGTTTACAATACATAATTATTACACTCATCATGGGGACTTGGAGCCAACTCTTCCCTTCTCACCTTTCTTTTTTATACTATTAATTATATATGATCTGTTTAAACATTATTTGTTTTCATGAAATAAATTAAGAGTTTGAGTGCAAGCCAGGAAAGAAATATTTGAGTGTGGAAGGCTATAAAAGGAAGGGGAATGTCTTTTTGACCATTTCCTTACCTTCACATGTCAAAAACAAATGTTCAACCATTAATTTAACCATTAAATATGGTATTTATTGAAATAGGCCCTATTTTTAGCACTGGGGATTTAACAGAGAACAAAATTAAACCTCGTGTAACTCATTTTTTAGTAGAGGGAAAAGAGACAGTAAACAAGAGTAATACTGGCTGGGAATAGTGATGTACATATATAATCCTAGCACTCTGGAAGGCTGAGGCAGGATAATTGAAAGTTTGAACCCCACTTGGGCAAGTTAGTGACTTAGTGAGAAACACTCTGTTGCAAAATTTTTAAAAAGGGCTGAAGATGTAGTTAAGTGTGAACACCTTCATTCACTCTCTAGTACTGGAGAAGACCAAAGTGATACAGATACTGAGAGAAGGAACAAATTTGAAGGCCTTGAGGCAGTTTTGTGCCTGGCATCTTTAGGGAACGGAAAAGGATCCAATGTTGTTAGAGCTAAATGAGGGGAAGAAGAATGAGATGAAGCATAGTGATCACTTGGTGCCAGATGGTAAAGAACAAGTCAGCAAATTACAGCCCTCTTGTTTGCTTTTTGCAATTCAAGTTTTTTTGAAAGGTGGCCATGACCATCTTAAGTTGAGAAATTCTGTCAGAGATCATAGAGCCTGCTTTTTACAGAAGAAAAAAAAAAATTGTAACTTCTGATGAAGAGCAGCACAGTCTAATTGAATTTCTGCAGTGATTGGAATAGTCTGTATTTATGCTGATCAATACCATAAGCACTAGCCTCATGTGGCTGTTGATCACTTGAAGTATGGCTGGTGTGACTATGGAACTGAATTTTTGTTTAATTTAAATTTAAAATAATTACGTCACTAATATCTACCACATTGGATAGCATAGAGTAGAACACTGCATAGATTGAATTTTATTCTGAGCGAGATAAGAATCAATTAGAGGATTATGAACAAATGAGTGACGTGATATGAGTTAGGTTTTAATTTGTTGTGAAACGTGTTGTGAATAAATTGAAGGGGACAAAGGCTGAAGCTTGGAGACCAGTTAGGTTACTAAAATAGTCTAGGGGAGAGATGAGGGTGAGCAGGATTTAGGCAGTAGCAGTAAAGGGGTTAAAAAGTTGGCAAATTATAGATGTTTTAAAGGCAATCCAAAGGATTTACTTATGGGTTAGATGAAAGAGAAAGAAATCATAATTCTGGGCCGGGGATTTAGCTCAGTGGTTTCGCTGCCTGCTGCGCAAGCGCAAGGACCCAAGTTCAATCCCCGGTATCAAAAAAAAAAAAAGAAATCATAATTCTAATGAGTAAGAATAAATAGCCCACCCCGGTACCAAAAAAAAAAAGAATAAATAGCCCAAAACTAAGATGGTGGAGATTACAATGCCTCAGGTTTAAAGGGTAAGTTTTGAAGCTTAGTTTTATTCACATTAGATTTGAGGTACCTATTCCGCTATTCAAACATAGATGTTGAGGAGAAAGTTTTATATGGAGTCTAGAATTTAGTGATTGCCTAAAAAAAAGAGAGTCATCTGCAATAAATGGGTATGCAAAGCCATGAGACTATGTAAGATCCTGTGTGATATAAGTATGGACAAAGTAAAGAAGATACTCACTAACTACCATGGTCATTTAATAACATGAGAAATCATGTGCCCAGTATAAATCTTTCCTTTTAAATAAGTTTATGTGATTCTTTGATTGTAGGCCTAGTGGGAAAGAGTTTTCTAGTTTGTGTGATTCACCGTATCTTCATTTAATTTAAGGATCATCAGATTTCTTCCCCTGGAAATCTGCTCTTTCCTAAAACCACAAGTAAAGTATGCTATGAATCATATTGGGTATTATTATGTTACTGAGAGAAATCAGTCCAGTTACTGAAGGGAAATATTTAAATATGAGGGACATGGGGTGAAAAGGGGCAAGAAAGGAGTATATGGTTAACTGTGCCAATAGCTTAAATGTGCTGTTTATTCCAGAGAGCTATGCATCCAAGAACTCTGAAGATGATGAGCTATCTAAAGAATCAAAACGGTCTGTTCGAAAGCGAAGCCGAAGTACAGATGACTATTCAGAAGCAGATGAGGAAGAGGAAGAGGAGGGCAAACCATCCCGAAAACGCCTACACCGGATTGAGACGGACGAGGAGAGCTGTGACAATACTCACGGAGGTGCAGATCAGCATACCCATGACAGCCAGCCCAGGGTCTTGCCCTCAGAGCAAGAGAGCACCAAGAAGCCCTACCGGATAGAGAGTGATGAGGAAGAGGACTTTGATAATGTTGGCAAAGTAGGGAGCCCTTTGGACTATAGCTTAGTGGATTTACCTTCTACTAATGGACAGAGTCCTGGCAAAGCCATTGAGAACTTGATTGGGAAGCCAACTGAGAAACCTCAGACCCCCAAGGACAACAGCACAGCCAGTGCAAGCTTAGCCTCCAATGGGACAAGTAGTGGACAGGAGGCAGGGGCACCAGAAGAGGAAGAAGATGAGCTTTTGAGAGTAACTGACCTTGTTGATTATGTCTGTAACAGTGAACAGTTATAAGACTTTTGTTTCCATTTTTGTGCTAATTTATTCCACGGTAGCTCTCACACCAGCGGGCCAGTTATTAAAAGCTGTTTAATTTTTCCTAGAAAACTCCACTACAGAATGACTTTTTAGAAGAAAAATTTCAACAAGTCCTGAAGTCTTTCTGTGAAGTGACCAGTTTTGAACTTTGAAGATAAATAATTGCTGTAAATTCCTTTTGATTTTCCTTTTCCAAGTTCATGGTCCTTGGTAATTTCATTCATGAAAAAAAAATCTTATTATAATAACAACAAAGATTTGTATATTTTTGACTTTATATTTCCTGAGCTCTCCTGACTTTGTGAAAAGGGTGATAAGAATGCATTCCAAATCTGTGAGGGCCAAAAAACAGAATCTAGGGGTGGGAGAAAGCACTTGTGCTCTAGCTTTTCATATTAAATATATATTATATTTAAACAGTCATGCATAGATAATGATTAGCAGACCATTTCAAAGCTCACATCTGAACTGTTGCCTCCTTGAGAATTGTAGATAACATCATACATAAGTCATTTAGTAATAGCCTTTGTGAAATCAACTTGTTTACTATTGGAGTTACCACATTTTAAATAAAGAAGAGACCGTGAACATACCATCGTAAAAAAAAAAAATCAACCTAAGTTCCTGTTATAGTGGAGTTTCTTGTTAACAAAATCATCTGAAAAGCATTTGATCAGTAAAATCAATAATGAAGCTTTGACAACCAGATTGTGCTAGCAACAAAGTTTTTAAAAATAGCTTTATGAAGTGGTAAAAGGTGGCCTTTTATATACTGTGTCTCAAGGGGAATTAATGAAATAAATATGGTCTTTCTTAAGACCTAGATGGACTGTAAACATTGCCAATAATATAACTGTTGTCTTTTGGCCACTTGTATTTAAATATCTGAAGTTCATTTTGAAGAAATACATCTATATGTAACATACATAAAGAGATGCTAAGCTGACAATGGTATTTTAGCACATTTGAAGACTGGGAAGGGATTTTCAGGTGAATTTTAACTGGTTATTCTTGCCCTTAGTATCTACTTCAAATTGAAGTCTACAAACAAAGCAGTTCCTTTGGGAGGTTTTTAGTTTGAATTTTAGCATGTGTGTGTCTGTGTGCCTGCACGTGCCTCTATGTGTGTGTGTGGGTGGGTGTGTGTGGGTGTGTGTGTGTGTGTGTGTTGGCATTTCCTATCTGCCTGGATATACTAGCAGGGTCTGAATGTAGTTTTGGCCTTAGGTCATTAGTCTTCTATTAAAATTCATTAATAATCACACAACTATCATAGAGTTGAAGGAGAACCACCAATATACTTAATAGGCATGACATCCATTTTAAACATCTCAACACTTTAAAGAAAGGTAAGCCCTTTCTTTCAAGAAAAGGTGGAATGTAACTAAATATCTAACATGATTGACACTAAAATATGAACTTTATCTTTAGTTTCTGTTACAGCTGTAAAATTTCAGGCAGAGCCATAACATTGTACAGAGTATAGCACTTGTGATTAATCCTTGCCTGTCACATTCTGAAACCTTCACCCATGACTTCTGTGAGTACTGTTGCTCTGGGATTTGGATTTTTCTATCCCAGTGTTGTGTCTGTTGCCGGCAATGGACACACCATATCTGCTGCTGGCCCAAGGAATTTTATTTTTCTTTCCAAATTAAGCATTGTATGTGCTAGTCAGTGAATACTAAAGCACTTCTCTTATTATTACAGAGCTGGCATTAGACTTGCATATACTTCTCTAGAGTCTTTATGTTCCTACTTTTCCTTTCTCAACAAGTGTTACCATTATATCTTATATGTTGGCCTTGAAAATTTATAGCTGTTGTTTTTCAGTTGTTTTTTTGTTTCACTTTAGTTCTTTAGCACCTGCCCATTAACATTTTTGCTTTGATTCTAGCTATGTATATGTATCTGTATAAAAAAATAAAATAATGAAAGCAGCCTAAAAATAGGATGCAACAATAACATGTGGTTCCAAGTAACTTGTGATTTTTATTTTGAGAGAATGTTCCACTGGAAGGGAGGGAAGGGCTTACATTTAAAGGCAGTGAGGCAGGGCTAAAATGGAGCCACATTCACTTACTAATCCCCCTTTCTAGCTTGTTTTATTTATTTGAAAGTCAGCTAAGGATTTTAAACCTTTTAAAATATCTAAACAGGCAGGCATAAGGATTCCTACTATGTAGTGTAAGGTAAGTGTAAATGTATAAGTGGCCTTTCCTGCTCCAAACTCTGTCTCTACTGTTTTAGTCCTGCAGCCGGGTAAAGCCACTATGATGTAGAAACTCTGTGCCCTGTCTCTACCTCTGGACACATCAGCTCCTGCTTCTACCTATTAATTCTCCTTAGTTAAGCGGATGATCACTAGTATTAAATGAGTAGGTAATTTAACAGAATGCTTAACATGACATAAGGAGTTCTTTTTACCCTTCTGCTCTGGAAAGTTCCAAGTAATTTTTATAGTTAAGACTGAGTTTTCCATTTTGCAGATGTCCATTGACATGGGTTATGAAACCACTTGTGTTGCCTGGTACTTACCAACCCTTAAGTAAGTGTTTATCAACTGTGGTTCATCTACCAAGAATATAATTCAGGAAGCTAATAAACACTATGCAGATAGATAAAGTTCTGCTGCTTTTTTCTTTTCTTTTGTGGTGGTGGTGGTGGTGGTGGTGGTGCTGGGGATTAAACCCAGGACTTCGTGCATGCTAACCAAGCATTGTCCCAATAAGCTAAGTCCCCAGACCTGGTTAGTGTTTAGATTCAGTCCTACAGAGTCTGTTATCGCTCAGATATAATTACTCTGAAGAATTTTGTTAATGTTAAATTAAAAATTAGAAGAAATGTTCTGTATCCAAGGACACAATACATTCATTAGGAAAATAAAGGAAAGCAGTAATTCATGTAGAATGTAGACCGTCTTGGATCCTTATTAGGGCACTAGCCATGGATTTAGATTCACGATAGTTGCTATATAATAGAGCCCTTTTAATAATAAAAGCTTTTTAAAAAATACAAGTTGGGCTCCCAATATCAAACTCTATAGTCTACAGCAAATGTATTATGGGGAGATGTAGTTTTAGTATTCAGACAGTTTAGTCTACAATTTCTCAAAGATCTGATAAGTAGCCAAACTTCCACAATGCAAAAGCTTTGAATTGAAATATTACATGAAAAGGACTCAGACTGGTTCTATACATTTGTGTTGATGATAATGCTTAGTGTAAAACATTTTTCATTGTTGGCACATTACTGCAAAATGACACCAGACATATTTTCAAGAATATTGAGGTTGGATTTCTTTGGCATCCTTTTCTAATTGGTCAAGGTTGAAGATTTAATGAATAAAGAGTTTCACTTAGAATAAATTCATGTCTACTGGTAGTGTTTTTTAAAAAGCAATCTGCCAAAGAACCAAAAATTTTGAATGCTAATGAAGTTGTTGAGGAAAAACCCCTTAATTTTAAATAATATTAATAAAAAACTAAAGAATATTACTATCCAATTTTCACTTTTTGTTGCTAGAACCCATCCTATATTTTTAAAATTATTTTTATTAGTGCCTATTAATTTTACAAAATGCTGGGTCCCATCCTATATTTAAGCAAAATACATAATGTTAAGAAAAATGTGGACATTACTTATTTAAATTGAGATTTAAAATGATGAGAAAATGTAAGTTATTTTTTAAGTGGGAATTTCCTTTGTCACAAGGAATTCACAATTATTTATGGGCATCAGAGATGTTAACCATTCAGTAGTTTGTTTTACCATACAACTCTAAAGAAGCTAATGAATGTACAAATTTAATATTCAGAAAAAGTTGTGAACTCCCTTCTTTACCAACACAGTGGAACGTGTCTTTAATTCATGGTGTTGCCTCACAGCTTCTGGTATTCAAAAACCCAAATCTTTTTTCAAGTGGAATATCCGTGTGTGTGTGTGTGTGTGTGTGTGTGTGTGTATATGTGTGTGTGTGTATGTGTATGTATGTATATATATATATATATACATTTTAGAAATTAGAAGAAATAATCCATTGGTAATTTCTTATAAAAAGAAAAATTGCTTTGAAATTGATACAAAACTATGGATATTTAATTACAGAAAGTCTAGAGTAAAACAGTTTTTCTTCTTGGTGTGACATTCTCAAAATATATTCCTGGTTTTCCAAGAAGCAGAGAATGCCAAGACTGTATACCTGCTGTAACCTTTCTGGTCCTCATTCTGCTTTATATGCTCATAGGATACAATCTGTTCCTACTTTATCCACCATTTCCAGTTTGTACCTGTGAACCTACCTTGGAAGAAGCAAGTAAAGTGATTTTTTTTCTCCATTATTTTTATACCAATCCTGAAAGACCAGGCCTTTTGCAGTCAATGTGTTTAAACTGGGTTGTGTTATTTGGTTACTTATGGAACATACATTTTGATAATATTTCACTCCAATAAATTAAGACTTTGAGTGCCAAGAATTGCTAAGTAACTGTAACATTGAAAAGTCACTCCCAAGTAAACATACGTTCTAAAATAGTAAATTTGTTATATAACCACTTCAGATTGTACACTTAACTTTTTTTTTTTTTCAACTCATGTAGACCCTTTCAGAAGTTGATTCAGAATATGGTCATGGTCACCTTAGTGGATTTTGTTCCCTCGTTTTGGTCATGTGAGTTCAATATTTTTAAAATTTCGTATTTATACTAATACGCTTTGGGAAAGGCTGTAAACTCAATTTTGGCACATTGTAGAGGTTTCAGTTAATGAAGTTGTTATTTTTATCCTAAGGACTTTAAGGTATCCTATATAAGATATGAGAGGGCATAACAGATCATTAGATGGGTAGAAATTTATTAAAATCTTTAGATATTATGAATGAGAAAAAATTTTTTTACAGGAATTACATTTGTGTTTTTTGCCAAACCAGACAAGCAAGAAAATATGCCTAGGACTGAATAACCTCCCTTGTTCTTTTTGCCACTGGATTATGTAAGTTAAGAATGGAATTGTTTACCCTAACTATATATTTCTTGACTTCCATCCATTTCTAAGGAAATCTAATTTAAGTTTTGGGGTTTTGTTTGATCTGTATTTATTGAGTTCTGGTCATAGACCAGGAGCCTGCATGACATGCTTATTGACAGCCAGAACACAGTCATTGGGGAACTTAATGGCTCAAAACTTTCTGAATAGTTTTAACTTATTTTGTATGTTGCAAAAAAAAAAAGAAAGAAAAGTTTTAAAAAAAAGTTTATTTTGCTTGAGAGTCACATTTTTTTATAACTGTACAGCTTTTAAGGGATGGGAGGTGGGAAAATACCCTAAAATAGGATGTAGATTTTTACAATTGTGTTTATGGTAGAACATCTGCAGGTGCATTATGTAATTAAACCTAAAATTGTTTTAACAATCTGTGCCATGGTCTTTTTCATTCTACTGCCCTTTAGTAGAGTGTTGGTGCATGACAATATTGTTACATGAACAAGCCTTGAAAATAGACTAAACCCTGTCTCTAAAGCTTTAAAATCATTGCATGAAAGTTATATCCACACATACATGTAGACACGTACCTGTACACACAGATGGAGTTTGTATTAGTGTAAATGGATTTTCAGGATCAGAACAGCTATAGTAGTCCAAATTTGACACTTAACAGCACATTCTTTTCATTGCATGATTTTCGTGATGTCTAACTAGGATATTCTCAATGTTGGTCTGGTGTTCTCTTATCAAAGTAGCTTCTTGATCACAGTATTTGAATAGTAGCTTACCCAAAACTGCCAAGAGGTTTTAAGTACACTTTGAAAGGTATCCTGTGCTTAGATGGGGTGGGGTTGGGGCAGGGCTTGGTTTCTTCAGTGTGTATAAAAGAAGAAAAAAACTAGAACTGCTCAATTTGGTCATTCAGTAGGTTTAATTTCACAGGAACAAATATTTGCTGAAACAATAAGCAGTTTCAAATTCAAATTTCCTCATTTGATAAGCATTTTTGAAATTTAAAAATTACTGATTTTAGCAGCCTTTTACATGGCACATTTTACCATGTTATAGTGATACCTTTTTGAAATGCCAGTAATTTTTACCATCTGATAATTTTATCATTCTTATTTCTTTTAGCACAAGTGTATTCTTGTAAAGAATAAAAATCATGTAAGTGTCATAATTTCTGTCTTCATCTATTGTCAGCTAGTGTGAGAAGTCAGTTTCTTTGCTATCTTCACTCATTCAGAAGCCTGGGGACCATGAATTTCCACTTGAAGAATACAAATTCCAGATATCAATTTGTAAATTGTCTGTTTTAGAATTTCATTTTGATTTTAAAGTAATAATTGGGATCCAGGAAGTGTTTGGTTAGAATATGTCTTGGATTTTCAGACATGCTTATACAAAATGCTTTATTTTCCTATGCATAAAAAAAACTTATTCCTGGTATAGGTTCTCAGAATTTTGTTTCTAGCTGAGAACTAAAACAAAACTTAAAGATTAGCATAAAACTAACTCTAGGTAATCAGGACCATGCTGTCCCATAATAATGTACTGCATGTGTGAAGGGAAGGGGGAAGATAACTGGAAACATGATTCTGATAACACAAATTTTGTGCATTAAAAGTATGGAAATTCCTGATTGCTTAAAGCTTCAGGAGTAAACTGCAGTGTATGAACACCTGGTGTGTTAAAATTGCAGTACACCTAGTGTGTCAGAATTGCAGTGCATAGTTGTTTAAATACAATATTCTTTGTGACAACCAAAATATGTTGTGGCTGGTGCCAATATTTTTGTTAATGAAATGTTTGATGTCTCACTACAGTCTTATCAGAATTTTTAGTGTTATATGCCAGGCCTAAAGCCATTTTATAGCTATTGGCCTAATTGTGTAACTTTTTCTTTCAAAATGTTTTATTATAATACTGTCATTTCTTTCACTTAATATATGTCAATTGTCATAATAAAGAATTTAAATAATTTGATGTATTTAGCATGTGTTTGCAAACAGTTTATTTTAAATTTTGTATCGTATAGAAAGCTAAGAATTTTCTATAAGATTCATAAAGGTTAAAATATATTGTTGCCACCTAAGTATAGACTCTTCTTTTCACTATCTAGAAAGGAAAGTACATCAATTTCTCCAAAATAATGTTCAGGACTTTGACAACTAGGCAGATAAAGATATTAGAGAACTATTTTCGGTTTCTATCTTTAGATGCTGGAGAATTGAAACATTAAGGAGGCCATGGACTTGTTCATCATGATTCTATGGGAGCACAGAACTAGACTAGAGGGCAGGAGCTATAGGATAAAAGTTTTCAGTTCTTTCTAGGGAAAAAGATAAAGTTCTCTTATAATAAAAAAACTTTGGCAGTAACTTCTTGCAAATAGAGAATTTTTGGATATAGGCTGACCTGCATGCCATTCAGTAGATGTATAACATCAACACATTAGACCAGATGACTAATAGACCTTCCAACACTGAATAAGATTCTCATCAACAAATTCTTAATTTGATTATTTTTCCTTACTCTTGGAATACAGTAAAGTTCAAACTGGACTTAATTTTTTATGAACTAGTAAAATGCACTATTTGCAATTCTGATTGAAAATATTAACAGAGTTTTTCAATCAGAATTTCACTTAATGGACTAAAAGCTGGTCTACACCACAAGGAAAATGGCCAATTATAGTGATTCTCAATAATTTATTTAAAAGTTTCACTTAACAGTCAGTGGAGCTGCCATGTTATATTGGAAGTCAAAGATGACAGGATCATAGCACCTTCAAAAGCATTCAAAGAGTCTTTTCTGGAGCTGCCGTGGCTCTTAGAACATGGTTGTGAACCTACAGCTCATAGATTATTAGACCAGAGGATGAACCAAGTTCTTTTAAAAACTGAGAATTAGTGTAACTCAATGGTGATCATTTAGCAGAGCTAAATAAAAATATGTAATGAAATTAAATGTTGGGGGCTGAGGATTGTGCTTTTTACTCTTATGTTGGCTCTATATTTAGAGCCCAAAAGAGAAAGGACTTGGCTAATGATGATAGAACCTTATTCGAATTGTGCTAATAATAATTCTAATCATTCTAATCTGTTAAGAATTTTTATTGGAAACTTAATTTTTACCATTACCGAAAGGCAGAACTCTTTTTTTTTTGGTACCGGGGATTGAACTCGGGTCCTTGTGCTTGTGCAGCAGGCGGTGAAACCTCTTGAGCTAAATCCCCAGCCCAAGCAGAACTCTTTATAAGCCTATGCCAACTAGTTCAGGAAGTGATGATGCTGGACTAGGAATAAAAAGGCAGGACTCTAGGGGCCGGGGATTTAGTTCAGTGATTCTGCCGCCTGCCTTGCAAATGCAAGGTCCCGAGTTCGATCCCTGGTACCAAAAAAAAAAAAAAAAAAGACAGGAACCTGATTTCTAGCTACTTGTAACCCTCAGCAAATTATTTAATTTCTCTGATCTTAAATTTTATCTGTAAAGGGGGCATCTACCAGCCATTGGGCACTTTTTAAAAAGTACTCTATGAAAACTTAGGTTTAAGCCAATTTTTTCCGTGTAACTGAGAGATACCTTTTCCGAGCAAAGCCAGCCACAAGCAAGTTGCCCACAAATAAATGTCCCATGGAAAGTCTCAAACTGGTCATTTCTCAAATTAGGTTTGTAAACTACTTTCAAAACATTTTCCTCCTGAATTCTCCACCTAGAAGTGCAATAGCCACTCAATCTCTTAAACCAGAATTTTAGAAGGAATCTTCAACCTCTTTTCATCTATACTGATCTTCAAAACCATCTTCCTCTTAACCTATCTCTAAATTATAAGCGTTTTAGATAGCTCTGAATCTTTTCCCAATCTTTCTGTTTTCAACTGCCACTTTCTCACCTACCTAGGCAACTTCTTAATTCCCCCCTTCAGTCCCACTACCAACAAACCAATCCAGTTTAAAAATCTAACATTCCTCTAAACTGTTGAGAAAATACAAATTAAACTACCCCACATGTCCCTTCAGCCTCAAACAGTCCTACTGCATATATATTATAATTAATCTTACAAACGAAAAAAGTGGAACTTGAATCCCACTAGATCTCTCACGACCAAACTCTGGCTTTAATGCCTCACATCTTATCTGTAGTTAGATCTGTAACAGAAAACTTCTGCTTATATTTGAAGTAGAGAAGCGGGGCGTGGTAGTGCATGCCAATAATCTCAGCACTTGGGAGGCTCAGGCAGGTGGATCTCAAAAAAGAAAAGAGAGAAGAACCTGCCAAAGTGTCTCGCAGTGTGTGGCACATAACACTCGGTTAACTTTAGCTACTACTACGACTATTTTGTAAATCTTTGAGTCCTATCTCCTCGCCGTCCTGCCGGCTCTCCGCCCTGCTACCTCGCTGTGCTTCTGCCCGCCTGACAAGTGGGGAGAGGTGGCTGGGGCCCTACATTGATGTCTGGTGCGTGGCTGTGTGAACCTGACATGTGAAGGGTGAGGCCGGGAGGAAAAGAATCTTCAACTCAGACGCGAGACTTCTGGCTTCTAGATGAATCTGGCCCTCTACTTCTGGTATATCCTCAGGCGAGGGACTCCATGTCTGAGGCCCCTTTCCACCTTGTAGAAAAGGGGATACTAATATTTCTTGTGCTTCCTCTTTCACAGGTTTGCTGTAACGAGCTAGGGTTAGCCCAGCCAACCTCGGTTAACCATGCCTCTCCTAGGATGAAGCTAAACTGTCACGTGACAAAGCCGCTGGGTCGTCCTGGACTTCCGAGCATTTCCTAGAATGTCTCGTCTCTATGATTAATGGCATTGAAATTCCTGTGTAGCCTAAGTTGTTCTTCCGGGGTGATTGCCACGACTTCCGGGGCGGGCCGCTGCGAATGGTGATTGCTGTGGCCCGGCTGTTTCCGAACCTGTGTTTCCATGCTCCCAGCTGCAATGAGCTTCCTCAAAAGTTTTCCGCCGCCGGGGTCGGCCGAGGGGCTCCGGCACCAGCTGCCAGATACCGAGGCTGTGTTGAACGGGAAAAACCTCGGCATTGGCACCCTTTACATCGCAGAGAGGTAGAGTCTCTGTTTCCCAGCGCCGGCCTCCTGCGCCCAACCCTTCCTTGCGGGTGCTTACGGTGCGGTAGAGGCGGGCGAGACGCGAACTCGGGGGTTCTGGGAAGGGGGGAGCGCGTGTTGTGCGTCGCTTTGAGGATGCCTCCGCCAGGCGCAGGAGTCTATTTCAGTGCCCCCCCCCGCCTTGGAAGCCATTGTTTCTCTGTTCTCCAGACGCGGTTTCCCCTCGCCGTTTGTACTTTTCACTGGCCTGTCTAATGAAGGCCTGGCGCGTGCTTTGCTTTCAACTCATTGTCACGTTTTAAAGTGTTTCGTTTTGTTTTTGCGGTACTGGGGATGGAACCCAGAGCCTCGCACAGGCTAGGCAAGTGCTTTATCACTGAGCTACATCCCTGACATGTTTTAAGATTTTGAGTTTCCAGACCCTGAGTTAGTCTTATGTGTGAGAATTTGGGAGGAGGGTGTTGGCCTGCGGGGGATATGTAGGTTCAGAGTAGATTGTGGAAGGGGGTTAAAGCTTGGTTAAAGAGTATAGCTTTTCTTTAGGGTAGGTGGGGAAAGGAGCATTCTCACCCCTACGAAGATTGGTGTCATGTCCAGAGGGACCTGACTCCAGTTGTGAGGTCCTGCAGAGAATTCCCTTTTCATTTAGCTGCCTGGAACACTTTGTACTTTCACGGCTAGATAGGAATGCCTTCAATATTGTAGTTGTAAAATTACTTCACATGTAATTCTCGTCATCTTCCAAGCTAACAGTGATACATTGAATCCTCTTTGTCCTTCAGAGTGTCTAGTTTCTCCATTTGCTACATTAGAGCCCAAGCTTTTACAAACTCATGTGATTACATTGGGCTCAAAATAATCCAGAAGTTCCCTATTTCAATGTCAATTAAATAGTAACCTTATTAATTTACAGAGCCAGCTTCAACATAACTTATAGCATGACACGAAATTGACGTCTCTCGGCCCAAATTCTGTCTACTACTAAATCTAGAACAAAAATTGTAAAGACTCCCTGGTGTAGAGGGAAATTTAGACACTTAGCAAAGTTTAAGCTTCTGGCTAGTCACAAGATAGGAAATATTGAAGAGAGCAAAAGCAAGTTTGAGATGAGGGGCAAGGTAATGAATTTGGTCTGGACGAGTGTGGAATGGTTGGAGGAGTGTTTATCTTAGAGTGGATTAATAGGAGTAGATTAGGTAACTCAAGAGAAGGTTTGGAGATAACTTGCTTTAAGAGATGGGTCATGAAAGTAGAGACTTGAAAAAAGAAAAGGAAGAAGTAGTCAAAATCTGAAACCCCTCTTTTTTTTTTTTTTGTACTGGGGATCGAACTCGGGTCCTTGAGCTTGCGAGGCAGGTGGCAGAACCACTGAGTTAAAAATCCTCAGCCCTGAAATCCATCTATTGAATATTTATAAGATGATCTTGAGAAATATTAGGAGAACAAATTCTTTTAAGTAGTGGAGGGTAATAGATATAATTCCTTGCCCCTGCACAAGTGTGTTTTACTGTTGCTGGACAAAATACCTGGCACCCTCAATTTAAGGCAGAAATGGTTTATTTGGTTTGTGGTTTCAAAAGTTTCAGTCTGTGGTTGGCTGGCTCTAAGATAGAAGCATCGTGGTATAGAAAGGCATGGTGGAGCAAAGCTTCTCACTTCATGGCGACCAGGAAACAAAGTTAAGGGGAATTGTGCCTGTCAAGGCAGAGCCCAGCAACCAGATATAGTCCTCAAGGTCATGCCTCCACCCAGACACAGCCATAAGTGTGCTTAAGTAATCCCCTAGGTGGCTTTCAAACCAATCAAGCTGAAAGGGGAACCCTCACAACAGCCTAACAAATCTCTTCTGTTTCTTTAAGAAAAATTTTTGCAATCATTCATAGTGATGCATGCCTGTAATCTCAGCACTCGGGAGGCTGAGGTAGGAGGCGCACTGCAAGTTCTTGTGGCGCCAGGCCAGCCTGGGCTACATAGTTAAGGGCCAGCCTGAATTCCCCTCAAAAAAAGGGGAAATTTTTTGTAAAGTGTATGTGCAAAAATTACATTATTTCTGTATGGGTTAATGAATTATAGTTAAACACCTGTATATCCACCCTCCAGATTAAGAGTACAATTGTAGGGCCGGGGATTTAGCTGAGTGGTTATGGCGCCTGCCTTGCAGGTGCAAGGTCCCGAGTTTGATCCCTGGTACCAAAAAAAAAAAAAAAAGAGTACAATTGTACCTGACATCCGTGGTCATCCCTCTTTACTCACTGTTAGCCTCACCTCCTTGGTCTCATCTCCCTTTTTGGTCTTTCCCACCTAGAATTTCCAAGTCTTCATAGGTTTTTGTTGCTGGTTTTTAGTCTTGTTTGGTTTGAGTTTGGTTTGGTTTTGGTTTTTTGAGATGGGTCTCCCTATGTAGTTTAGACTAACTTGAACTCACTATGTAGCCCAGGCTGGCCTTGAACTCATGGGGATCCTCCTGCCTCAGCCTTCCAAGTGCTAGAATTACAGGCGTGCACCACCAGGCACCCCCTGATGGATTTTGATAAACTAGCAAGGCTTCCTGAAGATTATGACAATGATTAACAGCCAGTTGCATGGGGTTGGACTGGGGGGAAATGTTCAAAACAGGGTGATTAGATGCAAGGGTGAAAAACATTGCACTCTATGCTAGTATATGTATGTATATTTTACATAGATACCATTTACATCTACACTTAATCTAACAGTTCTTCATCTGAAGAAATGAGAAAGAGACAGTAAAGGTGGAGCGGGAGAGAGCTATGTTCATGAGCTTGGCTTGTATAGTAACACTTAGGCTTTAGAGAAACTGTTTTTAGGACTTCAGTCAAGAGGAATAGTGTCAAATTTGGCTTTAAGTAGATATCTTCTCAGATCTGTTTTTAGAGATATAGAACTCTCAGGTTTAGTTTTTATAGGAAATTGACTTTGTATTCAGGGTACTTTGGGTAATTTAAAACAGGCAAACTTGGGACCGGGATTTAGCTCAGTGGTTTCGCCATCTGCTGCGCAAGCGCAAGGACCCAAGTTTGATCCCCCGTGCCAAAAAAACCCAAAAACAAACAAAAAATAAAACAGGCAAACTAGTTAATTTAAACCTGGCATAGTGGTGCATCCCTGTAATCCCAGCTACTTGGGAAGCTGAGGCAGGAGGAACACAAGTTCAAAGCCAGCCTGGGCAACTTTATAATAACCCTGTTTCAAAATAGAATAAAAAGGCCTGGGCTGAAGCTCACTAATATAGCATTTACCTAGCATGCAGGAGGCCCTGGGTTCAATCTCAAGTACCACCATGACGGAAAAAAAAAAGAGAGAGAGAGATAATTTAAAGTTAGAAATGAGGCCTTTTAGTGTCTCATTCTACGAATAATTTTAAACCAAATTCGTCAACCCAAATTTAAAGCCTCTCCTTTTTTTTTTACCCTATACCAGGAATATAGAAAGCATTAAAGTTTAGCAAAACATTGCTCTCCACATTTAGTGGCTTTCTAATTCTGGTCTTTATCTTTTATGATGTATGTTTTTTTAGAACTGGGTATAATTATATGTTTTGGTCTTTGAGAGCTTTTCTTCTAGAATGTGTGAAAAGAGACTAGACAAATCAGGACTTAATGATCAAGTAAATATTGTATTTTCAGAATCATTTCCATTTCTAAGATTCTGATAGCACCATTGGAATGCCATGCTGAGACAGCAGTGTCTGTCTGCAGTAAAGCAGTACAGAGCCGTTATTATGTGCCTTTAAACTAAAGGTCATAATTTGATAGGCACTGATTCTGTGTTTTATTTTTCCATCTCTCAATTGAGGCATTAAAGTTTTCTGGCTCTGGATATTTGAAATTATTATGGACATTTAAGTGTGGAATATTCCATAATTTAAATATTCTGATGGGGGAGGATCGCTTGGACACCATTGGGAAAAGCCATTGAAAAGGTCATAAGACTGCAGTTCATTCAGAAGAAAGGAATAGAGCTAATTAATCGAGAAAATGCCTCCTCTTGATACTGATGTACTGAACTATTGCAGTCTACTGATCTACAACAGACTTGCAGAAATTATTGGCCTTAGTAATAGAGAATTCCTTACCCACCCTGCCTTAGTTGTAAAGCAGGTGTTGTGTGACCACATGGAAGAGATCGAGGCCTGTTTAAAGGAAGCACAGAAGAAGGGTCGGTTACAACATAAAATTTCTCAAGTAAATGGAAAATAAGAGAAATTCTCACAGAATGCAGAGGAAAAGGCCAAAGAAATAAGATGAGGAAAGAAGAGAAAAGGAGAGATGTACAGGGCTTGTCCAGGAGATACAATCTATGTGTAATAGGAAAACCTGAAAGAGAGTACAAAGCAGATGAAGCTGAAACAATAATTACGGAGCTAATTGAAGAAGATTTTCCAGAGTTGAAGAACGAAGTAGACCTGAAAATGAAGAAGGCTCACAGGGTACCTTTAAAATTTAAGTAGAAGAAAGCAACACCTAGGCATATCCTTGTGACTTTTACATTTCAAGCATAAAGAAAAAATTTTGCAAGTATCCAGAGAAAACAGGTTACGTATAAAGGGGCAAAGGTCAGACTGACCTCAGATTTTTCTCTTACAATTCTAAATACCAGAAGACAATGGAACATTTAGAGTTTTAAGGGAAAATAATTTTTTGGGGGGGAAAATAATTTTGAACCAAGAATTATATACCCTTCCAAATTAGTATTTGTGTATGAAGGCAACTGGAAGACATTCTCAGATACTAAGGGGTTAAGAAAGTATATCGGCAGGGCTGGGTTTTCAGTGGCACTGCTCCTGCCTCACAAGTGGAACGTCCTGACTTCCATCCTCAGTACCAAAAAAAAAAGTATATCAACAAAGAACCTCCTCTGAAAATTTTTATGAACGATTTACTGTATCCAACAGAAAAATTAAATAGAATAGGGAGATAATTGTAAGGAAGATTTAATGACTAAAACTTATTAAGAATATGAAATCTAAAATTGTTACATTTAGGGTAATAAACCTAAATGCTAAATGGATTTGTAAGCTAGATCTAAAATTTTCAGTTTATGTAGTTTTAAATTGTCAAAATGCATACCAAATATTCAGTGTCAATAAATGTTGTCTTATTTTATTTTTATTTATTTATTTATTTTTGGTACCGGGGATCAAACTCGGGTCCTTGCGCATGCACAGCAGGAGGTGAAACCACTGAGCTAAATCTCTGGCCCTGTTGTCTTATTTAAAAAAATAAAAAATAAATAAATATTCTGATCGTATCAGGAGATTTTTTTGTATGGGGATCGAACTCGGCACTTTGCACTTACGAGGCAGGCTGCAGAATCACTGAGCTAAATCCCTGGCTCCTGGTATCAGGAGATTTTTGAGGGAAGTAAAAGGCAGTTATTTTCTTTAAAATAAGATTTTAGTGGGATGATTTTGGGATCCATGAACACTGTTTCATCTCCACATAAAAGGCAAGCAGCAGACAGGAAAGGCATGCGCAACACATAATTTAATTACCTAATGAAATCTGTTTCTTTGGAACCAGTGGGGATGAGTCATTCTAGAAAATGATTTCTAGAGATTTTATCACTTTATACCGTTTAAGGTTTACCATTTTTAAGCCTTTCATGTTTTCTTTTTCTGTTGTCTTTTTTTTATTATTCATTGTTTATTGGTACATTTTAGGTATACAATATGATGACATTCATCATTGGGAATTTGTACCATTACATTATATATCTTGATTCTTATTTTTTTCCCCATTCCCCTGCCCTCCCTTCAACCCCTCCACCCCTCCCTATTTACAAAGAATTTTGTTTCTGTTTTTTCCTTTTCTCATATTTATTCCTTTTCCTTCTTTCCTTCCCCCTGCCTCTCCCACTTCCCCTTCCTTTTGGACCTTTTCTTCCTATTTCACATTATGTATTATACATTTTGATCCTTAATTACACTTTTTTCTGTTGTCTTTTAAAAATAAACCTGTTGGCTGGAAATCTTTAGAATTTTTTAAAGTGTTGATTAAATTTTAGCATGTCTATGGAGTTGTATAGTTACCACCCCAATTTAATAAGATACTTTTGATAACTGGTCGTGTAGTATGGACATTGATTTCCTAGGGGAGCTGAGGTGTAAAATTCAACCTCTTTGCATTGAATGTGGAATGAAGAGTCCCAGGTTCTTTTATTGTACTTTTATTTTTTCTTGGTTAGAAAATAGACACCCAGGTTTGTTAAAGATTTGCGGGAAATAGAATGATACAGAAGTGTTATTAACTGCTTATTTGTTTAATTTTTTGGTGCTGGAAATTGAACTCTGCTTCATGTGCACTAAGTGTGTGTTCTACCACTGAGCAGATCCTTAACTTTTTTAAATAATAGCTTTATTGAGGTAATTCACATAGCATACAGTTTACTTATTTAAAATGTACAGCACAGTGGTTATTATTCCATTTACAGGGTTGTGCAGCCATCACCACGGTTCGCTTTGGAATATTTTTATTGCCCCAAAAAGAAACTAGGGCCCGTTAGCAATTATTCCTATATAGACAACCACTATACTGCATTGAGTTTTTTGTTTGTTTGTTTATTTTTTGAGACAGGGTCTTGCTATGTAATCCAGACTGGCCTTGAACTCACCATGTAGCCTATGCTGGCCTTGAACTCATGGCAGTCCTCCTGCCTCAGCCTCCGAGTGCAGGGACTATAGGCGTGCGCCACCATGCCCGACTGGATTAACTTCTGTTCCTTTTTTTTTTTGTGGTTTCTTCGGGATCTTTTTGCTTTTTTTTTCCCCCCTGCTAAGCAGTACAGTACCTGATGTTTGCAGTATTACCAAGAAATTAGACAGTGTATATTCAAAAGTCATACTAATTTTAGGGGTAGTTTACTTTGTTATACCAGTGAAATATTTGACCACTTTTAAGGAAAACCATACCTAGCTTATCTGTGGCTTTTGGTGAAAGCTGGGAGTAAATGAAAATCTTCATAGAATTTGTCTCTTAAGGAAGTACTGAAATTCTTTTCCAACTTGTGATTATAATTAAAAATACAGCCATTTTGTGGCTATGCCATTTACTGAAAGATTAGTGGAGAAGTTGCTAATCACCAGGTATTTATTGTCTGCTTACATGCTGATCACTATGGTGATGTTTTTGAAGAATGGTAAATAATGTGACAGGTCACATACAGCTGTCAAGCAGCAGGGTACATGTAAGATTATCATAAAGTTACCAAGAGAGATTATGTAAAGGTGCACATTTCCAATGATGAATGTCATTATATTGTATACCTAAAATGTACCAGTATAATTAATTTAAAAAGATATGTGGATTTCTTTCTGGACTTTCCATAAAAAAAAAGATTATCATAAAGTTAATGGCTAATTTAACTTACTGAGTTTAAGTGCAGTTTAGAAACAAAAGAGATAATTGGGGACTAATTGAGAAGAGGCTGGTGCTTATAGGTGGTTTAACTAAGCATGAGCATAGGGCTGGGGATATAGTTGAGTGGCAAATCACTTGTCTAATAAGCACAAGACCCTGTGTTCAATCCCTAGTACTTGGGAGAGGGGGTTGAGCGTACAAGAGCCACAGAAACACACAGGTAACTTAGAAAAATAGCATTTTAGATTTGAACTTATAACTAGAGGAAAAAGAATCATAATCAGATAAACAAAATTCAGTTTCTTCTGCTAAATTTTCTTCTTTTTTTTTTTGTACTGGGAATTGAACTCAGGACTTTGCACTTGCCAGGCAGGAATGGTGCCACTGAGCTAAATCCCCGGCCCCTGCTAAATTTTCTTTTAGGAAAATTTATAAACTATAAGCTTCAATTTATTCGCATGCATAAAAGCATGCAGAATGGACTATAGGGGTATTAAAATAGGATTAACTTTTAAAAATAATTACTTAAAACATGTTTTTCAGCCGCCTGTCTTGGTTAGATGGTTCCGGATTAGGATTCTCACTGGAATACCCCACCATTAGTTTACATGCTGTTTCCAGGGACCTAAATGCCTATCCACGAGAGCATTTGTATGTTATGGTGAATGCTAAATTTGGAGGTATGTATGGTATAATTTAACCTAGTCCTTCCTTTGACATTGTGTTTTAAAAATTAGTTTTTATTTATTCACTTACTTTTGAAGCAGGGTCTCTCTATATTGCCCAAGATGGCCCTGAACTCCTCAGCTGAAGTGATCATTCTGCCTCAGCCTCCCAAATAGCTGAAACTGTAGATATGTGGCAGTATACCCTTCCAAATGTAATATTCAAGCTATTGACCCACTTTAGATAATAGTCTATTAAGCAAAATTTTAGCACAGTAAAATAATTTTACACTTGAAGTTCTTATAATGGACATTTATGTGTATCTGTTATTTTCTATATATCTGCACTTAGAATTGGTCTGTTATTGTGGACATGTATTTCTACTTTTTCTTCTTCAGTTTAACTGTTTATATTGTCTTTGTCTTTGTAAAGGCACCCTTAGAGGCTTGGATCAGTATATTTTGTGCCTCTAAGAATGTAGTATAGAATTGTTTTTGTTTTATTAGGGTAGTAGTTCTCGGTGGATGGGGAGAATTTTCATATATCTCTACTCAAGTCTCTATCCTCCACATTTGGCAATGACATTTTGATCAGAGGGAGGGAAGGATTCACTGGTATTTAATAGTTAGATCCCAAAGATGCTACTAACCATCCTACAATGCACATGGCAACCCACCACAACAAAGAAATATCCAGTTCAAATATCAAAAGTGCCAAGATTTAGAAAACCTGGTTACAAATTCTGCTGTTGGAGATAGTTGTGAAGATTCATAAAAATCTACCGAAAAATGTTTGCTTTTAAAATAATGGGTTGTGGCTGGGGATTTAGCTCAGTGGTTCCGCCACCTGCCTTGAAAGTTTAAAGTCCCGAGTTCAGTCCTCGTACCAAAAAAATAATAATAATAATGGGTTGCTTTTCTTTCAAATATTGTATAACAGTCTGTGAGTTTGCCTCTTAAAATTGTTCCTTCAAACTGAAATTTTCATCTGGTTCCGGATATAATATGACCATTTATATTCAGTTGTGACACTTAATTATTAGTTTTTAGGACTCTGGCAAGCCCTGCCTCACTAAGTGGTATTGTCTGATTCACCTGCCTGAAAGTATTTTTATTGTAAGATTTTAAAATCTTGCCATTGCACAGGGTTCAAAGAGATAAAAATCTAGTGAAATTTGAAAAGAGGATAAAAAGTAAATAGCTGTTGACCTTGAGTTGTGATAAGTCTTCTTAATGAGCTATTAGGCCCAAAATTTACTCAGCATCTGAGTAAATGGAACTGTACTTTTAGAACTATGTTAGTACGACAAAGTACCTGAAATGGTCAACTTAATAAAGGAAAGGTTTATTTTGACTCATTGTTTTAGAAGTTTCACTCAGTTGTAACTTGGCCTCTTGCTTTGGGCCTGTGGTAGTGTGGTACATCATGGCAGGAGCACATGATGAAGAAGGTCTGTTCACCTCATCGTGGCAAAGAAAGAAGGGACAGGTGTCCCAAGATCCCCTTTTGGGGTGTATCTCCACTGACTCAACTTCTTTCCACCAGGCCCCACCTTCTAAAGGTTCTACCACCTCCTATTTGCACTACAGACTGGAGACCAAGTCTTTAACATATGGGCCTTTGAGAAACATTCACAATTCAAACTGTAGCAAGAGTAAAGAGAATTGCATGTTATATTTAGTTTAAAGCATGCACGCTTTCATTCATTCATTCATTCATTCATTCATAGTAATGCAATACCTAAATCTTCTTGTCAGTTTCAGCTGCTGATGTGATTATTTTCTTGTTTTGTTTGGTTTGGTTTTACTGTACTAGGAATTAAATCCAGGCCCTTGAACAAGCTAGGCAACTGCTCTATAACTGAGCTATACCCTCAGAACCCAGAACCTTTTTTAGCTCTAAAATAACCATAAATAAAAACTGAAGCCAGGTGTGGTGGTACATGCCTGTAATCCCAGCACTTTGGGAGACTGAGGCAGGAGGATTTCAAGTTTGACCCTAGCCTCAACAACTTAAAGATCCTGTCTCAAAAAAGTCTTTTTTGGGTCCGGGGATTTAGCTCAGTGGTTCAGGCGCCTGCTTCACAAGCTCAAGGTCCCGAGTTCGATCCCTGGTAACAAAAAAAAAAAGCTTTTTTTCTCTTTTAAGGGATGTGGGTAACTCAGTGTGAAAGCCCTGGGTTCAATCCCTAGTACCCCTCACCCCCAAAATTGAATTGCAGTATTCAAATATGTCAATAAATATCCTTTAGGAATTTCTCCTAGCTTGTTTTTTTAAAATAAATGATATCATTAAAATTATTTTTATTCCCTTTCTAGAAGAAATAAAAGAATCTCTTGATGATGAAGAAGAGGAAGACAGTGATGATGATATTGAACCTATTACTGAATTTAGATTTGTGCCTAGTGATAAATCAGCATGTGAGTATTCTATAATAATCTTTTCTTTTATGTACCAAGCATTTCCTCCTATTCTCATATACACACACACACCTTTACCCTTTACTGTTAGAACCATTACCTCATTCTATTGTTTTTTCTTCTTTTTTGGATCTGTAATATTGAGGACCAGGTACCTATTCATAGCAAAGATTGTGAATATAGTGAGAGTATTGTAGATACCATGTTACCTGGTACATTTTATGAATGAAAGACTCTGGTTAGTGTTATTGATTGATGCTGGTGACTGTGAGAATCTCAGCAAATGGATGACAGAGGGATCACAGCACTGTGGCCAAGGATTTTGATCCTTTTTCTCAAAAAATCCAACCAGTCATGAAGAGATCTTAGTAATATCTTGAACTCTTGTTTTGTAACTTGTCCACAGTCTCAAGCACTTTCAGGATCAGTCCTCCTTGGAATTTCGAAGGTTTTATATTGTTATCCTGGATACCTTTTGCCTACTCATTAAATTTTCCTGCACTGATGATTATTTTTATTATAAAATTTTATTGTACACTTAAAGAAATATTAGTTACAATTTAATGTCCTTGTTCAGTGGAGGCGATGTTCACTACAATGTGTGAATGCCAGGCCTTGCACCCAGATCCTGAGGATGAAGACTCAGATGATTATGATGGAGAAGAATATGATGTGGAAGCGCATGGTTAGTGAAATGGATCTTAAAGTATTTGTTTTAGTGTCTCATTTTAAGCATTTGTTTGTACTGGGGGCTAGGGCATTATATAGTTCTTTAAATCTCCTTCAAGTACCCAGTATAATGCTTATAAATAAAAGTGACCTGGGCCTGGTGGTGCATGCCTATAATCCCTGCACTTGGGAGGCTGAGGCAGGAGAATCACTGTGAGTTCAAGGCCAGCCTAAACCACACAGGGAGACCCTGTCTCCAAAAAAAGGAGAAAGAAACAAAAAGTAAATAAATAAAAGTGAGCAATACGGTGGCACTCAATAGACAAATTAGGAAAATTTATAGGCATTCTAGGCTTTTGAGGGTAGAAATAAGAGATGTTTGGAGGAAGAAAATGGATATCCAGAGACAAATGGAAGGAAAGAAAATGATAGAAAGAAGGTAGTCAGGAAAGTCTTTTAATCTGAGATAGCTGCCCCCAGAGATCAAGCCACCCCTTGAGAGGCTGGGTCTTCTTATCCTTCTTTAACATATTTCTTTTTTTTTTTTTTTGGTACTGGGGATTGAACTCGGGTCATTGCACTTGTGCAGCAGGCAGCGAAACCACTGAGCTAAATCCCTGGCCCAAAATGTTTCTTTTTTTTTTTTTTGGTCCCGGGGATCGAACTCGGGTCCTTGTGCTTGTGAGGCAAGCGGCGGAACCACTGAGCTAAATCCCCGGCCCCTTCTTTAACATATTTCTTCAAACAGCTTATTGCTGAGGTCATTTCCTTTTTCTCAGAACCATACTTTATTTATTTAAGAATGTTTCCCATTGCCTTCTCAGACCCGAATCTATTCATTCATTGGCTTGTAGAGTTGTAACTTGAGGCATGTGCTGTTCTCTGTGCTTTTCCTCATACCTGTCTGGGTGCCCAAACCCCTTTCTTCTCTGTGTACCCAATTCCTGGCCTGAGACAAACTGATTTCTGGGATTCTCCTTCACATACTGTATTCCTCCAAAATAAGACTGGGTCTTATATTAATTTTTGCTCCAGAAGACACAATAGGGCTTATTTTCAGGGGATGCCTTAGTTTTTCATATAACACAACAATTACATTTGTATCTTATATAGCAGTCTACATTTACTCATTTATTCATGTATAAAAATCCATATTTAGGGCCGGGGATTTAGCTCAGTGGTTCCACCACCTGCCTCGCAAGCACAAGGATCTGAGTTCGATCCCTGGTACCAAAAAAAAAAATAAATCCATATTTATCCAAATGCAGTTATGTCAGCTTTCTTCTGGAACATCATCATAACTCTCCAAACCCCAAATTCCAGCCTGAATTTCTTGCAACTCCATTTCCTGTACAAACATTGGCCCCAGTCTCTCATGTCCAGCAGTGGAGGTGTACTTAAACAAACACTTCTTGTCCATGTAGCCTGCTCATAGTGCATTGGCACAGCTGTCAGTGATTTTTTTTTAACAGTGATAAAGTTTATTTGAAAAAGTAAAAGTGAAGAGTGAAAGAGAAACTGACTCTGCAGAGGAGCATGAGCTGAGTAGAAGGGAAAAGCAAGATAAAAGTATACCCTGAAGGACACGGGGTGGATGCCATCGTAAGGAAAGCCATAATAGTCTGTCAGTGATTTTCTCCCATGACTTCTTCACCCAGGTCACAACCTCTTGGAGGCAAGGCTTCACAAAGTTTCCATAAATCGAGTGTTAATTATGAGACAGGAGTAGCAAAAAAACTGATGACAAGTAGGAATGATGTTCCACACAAAAGCAACAAAAAATTGCAGGCAACACATCAAAATTCAGAAAATGTTTCTTTATTTCATGGGCATGCATTAAATGTATCTGTTACAACACACCATGTATTAAATTATGAAGATTCATATTAGGCACAACCATTCATTATTAAGTCCATTATCAAGTGTGCATGTTATTCATGCATTGTGTCTGTACTCTAATTGGTCATCTAATTTGTACTCTAATTTGGCAGTAAGACTGGCAGTCATCTGTTACATAGGGGTTTATCTCTCGTCTAAAGGCTTCCGCTTCAGTATTTATAAATACTTAATTATAATTTATATTATCATTTTAAGTATTAATGTTAACATTGGTTGTATTTAATAATATATTAAAATTATTATTTTGTAATGCAACATGTCCATCGTGTGTTGCAATATATGTACTACCATTAAATGCATCTGTCTGGCTGACAGTCTAAACTGGGGCTTATTTTAGAGGTAGGGCTTATATTACGAATATCCTGAAAAATCATGCTAGGACTTATTTTTCTGGTTTGGTCTTATTTTGGGGGAAATATGGTACCTAAATATGTCCTCTTCTTTTTGAGATTTTTGACAGATTTTTTTTAATCCTTTAGTATTTCCACAATTTTTTAATGAGCTTTATATTAATCAGAAAAAAATACTTTCCATACAAATTAGTATCAAATTAATTTTGCACTCACTTGTAAAATTCTGTCTTCAACAGCAGCCTTTACAATAAAATGTTTGAAGTATTTTCCCAGAAGCCTGTTTTCACTGTACTTTATTCAGCATATGTCTTAGTGATTGTTCATTTTGTTTTTCTATTTATTGTATAATAGCTTTAAAACTTTCTGTTTGTTTAGAACAAGGACAGGGGGATATCCCCACATTTTATACCTATGAAGAAGGATTATCCCATTTAACAGCAGAAGGGCAAGCCACATTGGAGAGACTAGAAGGAATGCTTTCCCAGTCTGTGAGCAGCCAGTATAACATGGCAGGGGTGCGGACAGAAGACTCAATAAGAGATTATGAAGGTGAGTATCCTTTCTCTTCAGTGTGAACAAATGGCCACTTGGGAAGTAATGAAAGTTGTAGAGAAACATTTTCTTTTGGAAACTATAAGAAAAATATCAGAATTAATTCTTTATGGTGTGGAAAGCATAAAATAGGAATTCTTACAGTTTTCTTTATTTTGTTAGTGAACTCCCTCCCCATGTCTATACCAACTACAAAAATAGTTTATGTTCATTATGTTCATGGCCTTTTTTGGCGGTGTGTGCATGTGTGTGTGTGTGTGTGCACGCGTGCACATGCACTCAAACTGAGGGCCTCACTGTGCTAAGCAAGGATTGTACTGAGCCACATTCCTAGCTCCAAATATTTAAAAAATGCTTACAGGCAAAGAAGAAATGAAAAAGCAAAAACAAAAATAATAATGCGGACAGATATACCTGCTGTTAATTTTCTTGTGTAAATTTGTATTGGTTTGATAATAAAGTACCATAGACTGAGTGGCTTAAATAATAAAAAATTTCTTATGTCATAGTTATAAGTGTAGGATTGATTCTCTGAGGCCATGAGGGAAGGATCTGAATCAAGCCTCTTTCCTTGGCTTGTAGATGGCTGTCTTCTCCTTGTGTCTTCACATCCTCTCCCCTTTGTCCACAGCTCTGTCTGGATTTCACTGTTCCACTAGTTCTGGTTCTCCAGAGAAACAACTGTTTGTGTATCTGCCACACACATACATGGGGCAGGTGAACATCCCTGTATTTTACACCTAGCTGCTATTATACTGCTATTACCTTTTTTTTTTTTTTTTTTTTTGCAGTGCTGGGGGATCAAACTCAGGACTTTGTACTTGCCAGGCAGGCGCAGCACTATGGAGCTACATCCCTGACCTTATCTCTGCTATTACCATTTAACATCTGCTATTAAATGGAATAATCCTTCTTCATAAATATAAAATGTAGGGATGTTTCCTGTGTGTGTATACACAAATGATCATATATATGTATATTTTATGTACACATCTGAAAATTTACATAGATAAGTAAGAGACATTTAAGAAATCAATACTGGTGATGACTGGCAAGTCCAAAATCTTCAGGGTAGGTTAGCAGGCTGGAAACCCAGGGAAGAGTTGGCTGATACTGTAGTTTGAGTCCAAAGGTGATGGTCTCCTGACAGAATTTCTTCTTGCTTAGGGAAAATCAGTCATTTTCTCCTAGGCCTTTTGCTTCACTCAGAAGTACACTGATTTAATGTCAGCTAAAAAATACCTCCGTAGAAACATAGTATAATGTCTGGCAAACTGTCCGGGTACCACAGCCTAGCCAAATTGACACATAAAATTAACTGTAACACCCTTTTTTGCGGGTGTGGGTGTGTGTTACTGGGATTGAACTGAGCTATAGCCCCATTTTTTTTATTTAATTGAAAAATTCATTATTTAGTAATTGTTTGTTTGGTACCAGGGATCAAACTCAGGACCTTGCAGCTTTCCAGGCAAGTGCGGCACCACTGAGCTAAATCCCCGGCCTCATTATTTAGTAATTTATGACACATGCTTTTAAACTCTTAAACACTTTTGGCTAAAATGATATTTTTGGGCTTTACTCCATATGCTTTGTTGACATATTAGAGCTGTCTATATATAAGACTTCTTCAACTACACCATTGGTCCATCTTCTGAACTTAGTACTGTTATCTTTTTTTTTTTTTTGGTACCGGGGATTGAACTCAGGTCCTTGGCTTGCGCAGCAGGCGGCAAAACCACTGAGCTAAATTCCCGGCCTTTTTTTTTTTTCCTTTATGGTGCTGGAGATTCAAGCCAGGGCCTCTTCCACATGCTGGGCAAGTGCTTCATCACTGAGCTCCACACCCCAGCTCTTTTATTTGAGACAGGATCTCACTAAGGGACCAGTCACCTTTGAGGAACTGTAATTCATTATGTCTGGAACTTGGACTTAGAGGGTAGTTTTATAGAAAGGTGAAGTAGTGAATTGAGCTGCCTTAGAGGGAATTAAACAGCTCAGTGTGGTGGCTTTCATGTAAGGAGATCCTCTGTCAAAAACAAGGAGAAAAAAAGGGCTGAGGATGTGGCTTAGTGTGAAAGCCCTGGGTTCAGGTTCAGTCCCCAGTACCAGAGGGGGTGACTTGAACATTATCCTTATGTCAGTGGGAAGCCATTAAAGAATTTGATTAATGTTTTGGATGATGACTTGATTGCAGTATGGGAAATTGATTGGAGAGAAAAGATACTGGAAAAAAGAAAAGTTTGGTTATGTGACTTATACATTAAGTTAGATTAGAGATGTGACTTAAATATAGACAGTGAATATCAAAAGATGACAGATTTAAGGGATTTAGGAGATCTTAGACTCAACAGAAGTTAGAAATATGGTCTGTATTTCTGGTTTGGGCAGATAAGAGGTACCCTTTGGCAAGACAGGAAGGAGAAGCATTTTTACCTGGAAAGGTGATAAATTACTTTAGATACACGAAATTTGTGTGTTCAGGTGATGGTATACCAAGGGGCTTTTGGCAGAAGTTTGGTGGCTGAAGAGTAGAGGTGTGAATAGAGGTGAGGAAACAGAAACTAGCTGTAAACAAGTCTCCAGACTTGTTTTCCTTGCTTCCTTTCCAGCTTTGTAGTGCGATGAGAAAAACAGAGATGAGTATGAAGTTTATCTGATTTTATCCTTTTTCCTGAATTATGTTACAGGTTTTGTGGAAATAGGACTACATATCTTTAAAAAAAAAAAAAAGGATCATAAATAGCACAGATCTGAGAAGAGTAAACTGTTGAAACTTACTGCATTTGAAGGTTCCTACCTAGGGCTAGGGATATAGCCCAGTGTTAGAACACTTGCCTGGTGTGCATGAAGCTCTGGATTTGATCCCAGTACTACAAAAGAAAAGAAAAGAAAAAGTGGGCTGGGAATATAGCTTAGCAGTGCAGCGCCTGCCTGACAAGCTCTAGGCCCTGAGTTCGATTCCTGATACCAAAAAGAAGAAAAGAAAAAGAAAGTTCCTACCTGGAGTCCTTTTGATGTTGAGGTTGAGAATTTACAAAGTAAATGTTAAATGTATGTAGTAATTTTAATTAAGTTAAATCCACTGTTAGCACTTTTCCTTTTCCAGTCGTTTTTGGATATGTACTTTAGTTTTTTAAAAAAAAGAAAAAATAGGGCTGGGAATTTAGCTCAGTGGTTTTGCCGCCTGCTGCACAAGCGCAAGGACCTGAGTTCGATCCCCAGTACCAAAAAAAAAGAAAAAATATAGGAGCTGGGGATGTAGCTTGGTGGCACTGTGCCTGCCTGGCAAACACAAGGTCCTAAGTTCCATATCTGGTATCAAAAAAACCAAAACCAAAACCAAACAAAACAACAAAAAAAGCAGTTTTTACCAGCAGAGGGCAGTAGCTTCCAATTGAAATTATAAGTTGAATTTTTACTTGTCTCAACTGCTGGGTAGAATATGGCTCAACAGTTAACTTTTTTTGTTCAGATGGCATGGAAGTAGATACTACACCAGCAGTTGCAGGACAGTTTGAGGATGCAGATGTTGATCACTGAAAATGATTTATGTTGCTTTAAGGTGAGTGGTTTATTCTTTTTAAACATGAAAGTCATAAGTGATTAATTTTTATTTTCATAATTTAAGAAAGCTCTATAAGATAAGTAGTTTGGAAAAATGTTACCCATTTCTGAAGTTACTGGAAATTACATGGTTTTTTTTTCCTCTAAGAAATCAAAGCCTGCAAACATAGTGATGTTCACTTTAACATCTACCATACACTTACTATATGCCAAGCACTGCGGTGGGAATTGAGAATTTTGTAGAAGAAAAAGACATAAATGAATTTAAGAGATTAGCCATTGATACTAACCATTTGTTCAGAACCAGAGATCTCCTCATTTGCTCACGTGGGAATAGTAGAACCTGAGATCATGCCCTAGTCTGGTCTTGAGTCATGTTTTCTTCTTGTGATACTTGAGCCATAACATGCTCATGACTTGCTACTTCCCACTGCTTTTCAATTTAGGGAAGAAGTAGAAGTAATTCCAAACTGAGTCTAAGGCATTAATCTTAGTCTTGTGTTGATTTCCCTCATGGAAAAACAATGAGAGACAAAGGTCCTGGGCACCGTAGTATTCAAGGCTGATTTTTCCAAGCCATAACAAGTCCTTGTACAGTTGTCCAAAAGCCATCATTTTCCAGGTTGTTTCCTGTGTGCTTTTCACAGCTGACATATGTAAGAGCTCTTGTTCAGTTGTTTTCCTCTGATGCATTACAAGGAGCTTTGCCTGAAGTTTGTCCTTGTTTGCTACTTTGTTATTGGGAGAAGTATATTATCCTTGCGTATATAAGCTGTATATTAGGTAACTAAAGGTCACTAGTTCATACCATACAGAGGTAGCACTAATGACCTTAGTACTCTTTCCTTTGTAAGCTATGAAATTTTTCCCATTGTTAAATTGTTGTCCCACTTTCTGCCCTATAATGGCATTATCTTCTTGAATACTGGCTGTCTGAGTTTTTGAGCAACTGCTTCTCAGCTTCTTTTATTTTATTAAGTAATATTTGTATATTTGACTTAACTCTGCTACCTCCATCAGTCATCCAGTTAGGTTGTAAGAGCTCTCATTATTTGCTGGTAAGATAAATACTTCAGAATTCCTTGTTTTTTTCTGATTAAATTTTATTTCTGAATCTTGAGAATTTGTTAACTTTATCTTTATGTACTCTTTCATTTTATATCAGAAATCAGCCTTTTTAAAGTTCTAGTCCTTCCAAATTGATTGCCATTGTGAATAAAACATTGCTTCTCACACCAACCATGAATTGTGATACTGTATCTGTTTTCTTCCCAGGTCCTGCCAGTAAAACTATCAGAAAGTAACCTTGTAGAGTTCTGTTATTTCTGTCATTTCTGTTCTTCCCATAAATCTTAATTCTTATTTTCATATTTACTTTTGTCTGTGGCTACAGTACAGTCTACAATCAGTGATGTCTCCTCTGCAGTTTTGTGCACACTAGTGCTATGTAAGCTTTCTTTCTCAGCTCTCACTTCCAGATGTCTGTAGCTTCTACTTCATGGAAGCCTTGAAGTATGCTTCTGCTCCATGGGAGACCTTTTGGTACCAACTTCAGTCATCATTCCTTATTTCTCATTGCATTCTTTATAGCATGTAGACTTTTTCAGTTACAGTTTAGTAATTTTTATTGAAACAGGAAAACAGAATTTTGGATCTTCAGGCTTTTACACATTTACCCTTCAAAAATAGACTCTTTAGAGAAGAACATCAACTATTGTGTTAATAATGATCATGAGAAATGCATTTGGACTGTCATTAACAGTTACACAAATGGGATGTTATTGCAGTCCCTGGCAAGAATTCTTAGGATTCTTTGTAATGGTGAAATAACCATAAAATAGCCACAAATTTTCTCATGAATTGATGGCCTATTTTCTGTTTGTTTTATGTACTCTGCCCAGAGGCAAAGAAATAACTTTTTCATAAAGTTTATTCATATTCTTCGTCTGGGTAGGTGACCTGAATTCCAAACAATGTCTGTAAACTCATAATCATATAAAATTGTGGGTGCCATTGAAGGATGAACATGGAATAATTAGTGTTTATGCAACCATTAATAATTTCTGGATAATGGAATAGGACTTCTCAGTGTGTGTGATGGAGTGAGGGGGAAAGTACATGAACAGTGGGATCATCACTCTACCATGTGCCTTTGGATGAGGTTTATAACTTATCTAGTCCTCAGGTTCCTCATCTAAAAAATGGGGATGGTAAGAACTGCCTGGCAGGGTTACTGCAAGGCCTGAGGTGTATTTAAATCCTCTGGCACCTTTGACAAGGCATTCAGTGAATGACAGTTCCTATTAACACTGTGCCAACCTTTTGTTTTTCAGGTTCTGCTCCTAACTGTAGGAGAAAACTTGGTGCCTCTTCCCTCTGAAGAGAGGCTGATGAAAGTCTTTTTCCTTCTCCAAAACTCACTTAAACCAGTTCTTCCTCAAGATAAACTATACTGAGACAGAAAGTTGTCACCAGCAGAAGAAACTATGACCTTTATTAACAAAGGTGAATTAGCTTAACCAAGGGGTATTTGTAATTTATCATTTACCCTAAAACTTTATGTCTAGGTAACCCGCTGACTAGGCCTGTAATTCCTGCCTTTGCTGTATGCATTGTCTATGCTAGCAGGCCAGTGTGGTAAAAAATGCACAGGAATTGGGCAGGAAATAGGATAAAGTTAAGATGAGGGGGCGGGGGGCTAGAGATATCCTTATCCCTAAAAGAAAGGGCAGAGGTCTCAGAAGGATCAGTCTCTGTCATTCTCCACAGGGGCAAGAGTCACTAATTTGGGGCCCAGATTAATTCACACCTGTCTAGGTGGTCTCTTGGGAAACATCCCAATTGCAAATCCTACCCTACCATAAAAAAGTGCTTCTGGGTAGCTTCCGTCCTTTCCACCTTGTTTTTCCAGTCTGCTTTGTTATAGCCTCTGAGGTTATATCCTTTGATTTCTGCCTTCTTAGGTTAGTTTTCTGTAACAGAACAAGTGAACTGAGATAAGGTCCTTAAAGTACTCCTGATGATAATTGTTTCGTCTTTGTAATAGGTTAACAAATAAATCTAGGTTTTCTATAATACTGTGCTCTCATTCTTGACTAAAACTAATAGGAATTTTTTTTAAAAAAAGACAGTAGTGGCAAAAAATGAGATCTTGTTGGTCTTGGTTTTGTTCACTTTCATTACAAACATGAACATGAACTATTAAGAAAATCTATATATATGGTTAGAACTTCTGGTAAATAGTAAAGCACATTTCAGGGAATTTCTGCTGCTTCTCCTTGAAGCAGGAGTAATTTTGTATATCAGCTCTCACTTTTTAGTTTTCATAGACATTGGGATGTAAGGCTGATTTGTTGTTAATAAACTTAGACTTGGACTTAAAGTACCATTATAGACTTAAAAAGAAGGTTGAACACATTATTTTGAGTTGTTTGGCTAATTAGTAGCTAAATTGTAGTTTGATACCATTCAGCCCACTTTCCCCACTTTCACTTGGCTTCCCTAATTCTGCCAGGTAGATCAAAGAAAATTCATTTTCCTTTTTTACTCAGACTCTCAGCAATTCTGCATCTCTTATAATAGGTAAGTAAAAGAGCCACTTGGAAACTGAAGCTAAAATTTTGAGATTTCTGAATCAGCCACTGTCTTTGGTGCTTTACATGATTAATGTGTTATAATATATTTATTTATTTTTGGTACTGGGGATCAAACTCAGGACCTTACGCTTGCCAGGCAGGTGTGGTGCCATGGAGGTAAATCCCTGGCTCCTAATAACTTTTATTATACCACTTTATAGATGAGGAAACATAGTGTTGAAGTGATTTAAGGTCATATACATTTTGAATTGTTTTTAAGCCTATGCTCCAAAACACCATACAGCCTTACTGCCTACAAGGAGTTGAAAGGAATCCCTTTTGTACAAGGTTTTCCATTTTCAAATTTTAGTAGACAGCATAGAAGTTTCCCAAATTTCTTTGCCACTCATCTGAACAACATCCATTCTTCAGTAAGGAGTCTGGATTTTTCTCTTGGACCTCTTTTATAAAATCCATTTGCGTTTCTTTGTAAAGGAACATACTCATAATCATGTCTTTTGATGAAACAGGAGATTCTGTGCACTGTTTTTCTGTGGGTGTTGCTAAGCTCAGCCTGGTATTGTGAATAATGCAGCACACAAAGAGGTAGAAGGCCCAGCTTCTAGTGTTGACTTGGCAGACGTGATATTTAACCTCTCCTTGGGTCTGTTTCCTCCTCTATAAAATGAGAGGTTTAGACTAAATGACTTTTCAGATTTAACTCTGTAACATTCTGTAGTATTAGATAGTTAAATCCATAGCCTTGCAGGAAAAGATTAGGCCAGACTATTAAATATGAAATTCATAATTATAAACAAGTCGACCTTTCTGTTTGAGCTTAATTTTAATGTTATTGAGGCCAGGTGTAGTGGTGTATCCCTGTAATCCCAGCACTTGAGAGGCTGAGGCAGGAGAATCACCACAAAGTTCAAGGCCAGTGTGGGCTACATAGTGAGTTCAAGGACAGCCCGAACTACATTGCGAGACCCTGTCTCCCCAAAAAAAAAAAAAATTGTTACCGAAGTTGTTTGTGTTTTTGATGTTTAGAAATTTTAAAGGCATAGGCATCTTTTCTTTCCCCATCAAATGTGATCCATCTAAAATATTTCTAAAAGTTAGGATTAGTGGGGCTAGGGATGTAGCTCAGTGGCACTGTGCCTGCCTGGCAAGCACAAGGTCCTGAGTCTGATCCCTGGTACCCAAAAGAAAAGAAAAAGGGTTAGTGGTTCTGTTTTAGGTTCTTTCATTTGAAAATATGGTCTCTATGGATTTCCTTCTCCTTCAGATCAGCTTGCCAGATATTTACACTTTTCTAATATGCATATTTAGATTTTTATGTGTTTCGAGATGCTATTAGTATCTTCCTCAGTATTGGTAAAGGTAAGAGATTATGTACAGATGATTAAAATGTGTGGCTCTTTGCTTTAGACAGATGTGCTTGGTGATTAGAAATACTAAATACTTGAAATTCGCTTCATCTACAGGATTTCAGTAGGCTCACAGCTTAAGCTAAGTCTTATGCAGAGTATTTCTTTATAGAATGGATGAATCCACATCTGGTCTTCTGCAAGTAATATATAATAATTTAATTTGAAGCAATATCCCTTATAGAACTATTGCCATCCCTTGATAAAGGAGCTGGGACATCTTTAAACTAAGATCTTACTCTGCTCAATATATACAAGTCAGTATCTAATTTGAAGGATTTCCTAATTTCAAATGAGAAGTCAGAAAAGTTTCTGAGAGAGGAGTGAACCAGGTTAGGATTCTGTTTTTAGCTTACTTTTTAAAGAGAAAGAAAATTATAGCCAGGTGCAAGGGTGCATACCTGAAATCCCAGCTATTTAGGAGGATGGCAAGTCTGAGGCCAGCCTGGACAACTGAGAGAGAACTTTTGTCAAAATTTCAAAGAGGTGGGGAGGGGACATTGCCTAGCATGAGTGAGTCCCTAGGTTCAATCCCCATTACTGCTAAAGGAAAAAGAAAACAAGAGCTATATAACTTAGGGATAAGGCTAAGTAGCTAAAAGTATATACAGGCTAATAATTCTTAAATTTTTTAGGATTATTTTGGGGAATTATATGAATTACCTGATACACATAAAGCACTTGGAACAACTAACTAGAAATAGCTTAGAAGATGCCAGTTATTACCAATAGTAGTAATGACTTATTTCCATAATAGAACTTTTTGTTTTTGGTACCAAGGATCGAACTCAGGACCTTGCGCTTGCGAAGCAGGCATCGGAACCACTGAGCTAAATCCCTGGCCCTTCATAATAGAGCTTTAACATTAACCCACCACTTAAAGTACATCTGTGAAGTTTGAAATATAAAACTTTACTGAGCAATTAAAATAGACTTCATGAAATCCATGCGTTTTTTCCCATAGGCCCTTCAGACCTTCACTGCATGTCTCTTATTCTATAAAGAGGTCTAAGGCACTGGAAGATGTAGTTTCTAGACATGCAACAAGTTAGTAAAATATATGGGAGTGGTTGCATCAAGGCATGTCAGTAGCAGCAGTGAAGAGCTGACAGCATCATAAAAAGAAACAAATACTCTGTCAAAATAAGCAGTCTAAGCCTATATAATATATAGTGCAAATAGTGAAGACAGTATAAAGATAGTGCAGCAGTTTTTATAAAATTATGACCCTCTGTCAGCCCAAATTCTGGTTGTAAACCAATCCACATTTGTCTAGCTCAGGCAGAAAAAAGTCTTTGGTGACTCACAAAATAGACAGGAGGCCAGGTGTAGTGGTACATGCCTGTAATCCCAGCACTCAGCAGTCTTATTTTAAACACTGTGGCAGTCCAGTTAAACTTATCATTTAACTATTTAACATTTAACTACTGAGTCATAATTTTGTTACTTCTAATTTCTACATATTGCTCTGGTATGTTTATGAGTTAGAGACAAAGTCCCTTATCTTCAGACTGGCTGCCTTGTAAGGTAGGCTCAGCAACAAGCTGCACATAGTTCTGTCTGCAGGTGTAAGTAGAGTGACTGTCTACATGCTGATCTCCAAGCATCATTTAAGTTACCTGGCAACTTATCAGTTACTCGTTAATTGATCAGTATTACTCAAGCAGATCATATCTCGCCCTTTTTTGAAAAACTTTCAAATCTGATAATAGAATTGCCTTTGAAGAGAAACACACTTAAATTTTTATGGCCTGAACTTTTTTTTTTTTTGGTACTGGAGATTGAACTTGGGACTTGCGCTTGCGAGGCAGGTGCTGGAACCACTGAGCTAAATCCCTGGCCCCAATGGTCTGAACTTTTGATAAAAATTAGACCTCATAAAGGGCCAGGATTTAGCTCAATGGTGCCACCATCTGCCTTGAAAGCACAAGGTCCTGAGTACAATCCCTGGTACAAAAAAAAAAATTAGACCATAAGATAAAAGGACTCTGACAGAAAAACTGAAGGTTCTTTAAACCTCAGAAAATACCTAAATTTAATTTTTATAAAAAATTTAGTGTTTCTTCAGAGCCTACAGTTTAGTCACAGTAATGACTAAGAAGTTTTGGGTTGAAGTAGAAGTCTAAAGATGATATTTGGCTCTCTGTGACCTTGGGCACAGCAGCAGTTAGAAAGTCCTCTGGACTTAGCTTCCTTTCCCATAAGATGGAAATTAAAAGTCTATATCCTGCTTACTTCACAAGGTACAAGTGTGAGTGTGAAAAGCTTAAATCTTGATTTCTTTCTTTTCTTTTTTTGGTACCGGGGATCAAACTCAGGACCTTGTGCTTTCAAAACAGGCCGGCCTTAAAGCTTAAATCTTGATTTCTATGGTGCACTGTTTTATTCTGTTAAAGAATCAACTTCCCTAAAGATAGTGAGATTGTCTACTTGGAGAAAATATTTTACTAGATTAGAATATATTTAAAATTTAGGAAACCCCTTGAGGATCAGTGGGTGTATCATCTACTTCCAAAAGCAACTTTTCTAGTGAAAGGTGACACCACTGATGGTATCGCTGTGTGAGGTAATGGCTGGAAAGTATTTTCTCTCCAGTTCTGTAAACAAAACCTGTTGTACTTTGGTTAAAAATCTTGTTCATTCAGGTGACACCTGATACACAATTTCTTTGGTCCTGCTATCACTTTCCCTTCCATGGTCAACCTTATACAGTATCATTAAAGTTAAGAATTAACACTTGAGGTTCTATGTGAAATTTAATGAATCGGTCTTTTTTAGCAGCATTTAATACATCACTCAAAAGAACAAGTGTTGATTGAGAAATACAGAATACCTCATTTTTAGAGTAATTTGTTTAAGTCCCAGAAACCTTTTAAGACAACTTTCTCAGTGGAAGTTAAAACACTGATGAATCCAGTGCAGCCAGTACGAGATAATAAAATCTTTGTCACATCCAGCTTGACTGTCCTATAACTTAGTCTGAGTCTTTTGGAATAGTTACTCCTTTTTATTAATTGTTTGGCTGTTATGCAGCCATGGTAGGAAAAAGCTGAACATCAAAATCATCAACAGTACACCTGAAAGACAAAATACAGTTAAAAAAAAATTAAAAGGCCATAATCACTAATTGGGTATAAATTAATATTCTCACATTTTTCTTCAAACATGCATCCTTAAATACAGTATGTACTTGATAAACCCAGTAGGAGCCAAAGAATCAATTTAAAGGATAAGCAAACTCCAAAAATTAAGAGTTTTAGTTTTGTTTCCATTTCTGACTTGCAAAGAAAGCCTGGACTCGAGTCTTCTTTTGCTTCTCTGTAAAGTGACAGCTCTCCTTCCCTGCCATGACCCTGGAACTAGAGTACCTGAAAGCACTGAGTTTTCATGTGGAAGCTCAAATAAGAACAATGTGATACATTGCTTTCTCTTCTCTTTCTTACTACCACTCAGCCATTAATAGCTTTTAGATGTACCAAATAAAATGTTTGAAACAAAGTTTTTGTTAATGCTGAAATGTTAATTTTAAAAAATTTTTATTAGTACACGTTTGCAGTTACATAATGATTACATTACATAACACATCTTAATTATTTTGACATCCCTTTGCCCTCCCCCTTCTTGGTCCTCTTCTCATTTTGAAATCTTAAATACAGTAAAAATATTTTTAAAATTAGCGTATTAGTAAATCTTCATTTTTATGCTCTTGTGCTGCTGGGGATTAAACCCAGAGCTTTTGTGCATGCTAGGCAAGGACTCTAACACAGCTGCATCTCGAGTCCTAAATCTTTGTTTTTGAGGTTATATCAGACAAATAACACTAGGCCTTTGCTCATTTTTTCAATGTGAAATAAGGTGGAGGAAAGTGACTGACATAGAGCTCAACATTGCCATCTTGAAAGGGAATTATGCAGTAATCTTAAATCGTAATGTTTTTAGGCTTAAAGCTCTAGGGTTTACATTCAGATTTTTTTTTTTTTTTTTTTTTCTGGTACTGGGGATCAAACTCAAGACTTTGCATTTTTGAGGTAGGTGCGGTGCTACCGAGCCTACTGAGCTAAATCCCTGGCCCTACATTCAGATTTTTAAAATGAGGTTTTATTACATTCAGGCTTGAAACTATTTTACTGTTTTGGCAACAAAAGAAAACCTCAAGATTTGGCTAGCATTTTGATACTCTTAACAGTTTTTTGAAAGATCAGTATGTAACCAGTCTTTAAATGAAAAAGTCAGATACAATCCCTGTGTTAACTGACCCCAGATTTTGCCAATTTCTTTTCTAAACTTAAAGCTAGAAAACAAGACATGATATTTAAAACTTTACAAGATAGCACGGTGGGACATGCCCATAATTCCAGCAGTCTGAGAGGCTGAGGCAGGAGGATCCCAAGTTCAAGGTCAGTATGAGCAATTTAGTGAGACCCTGTCTGAAAATTAAAAACTGGGCTGGGGATGTAGCTCAGTGTGAAAGCCCTGGATTCAATCCCCAATATCACCAAAACAAAATAACAATAACAAAAACTTCTTCCAAAAATAGAATTGCAGTTTTATTAAAGTACACAGAATTTGCCAAATTTTATTGTATAAAATACATAAACTAGGAAATAATTCTATGTTCTTTTTTTTTTTGGTACCGGGGATCGAACTCGGGACCTTGTGCTTGTGAGGCAGGCATTGGCACCACTGAGCTAAATCCCCAGCCCCTATGTTCTTTTGGGTTTTGTTTTTTGAGACAGGGTCCTAGTACATAGTCTAGGCTGGCCTTGACCTCCCTCTAGCCTTGAACTTGGAGTCCTCCTGCTTGAGCCTCCCTAGTGCTAAGATTACAGGCATATGCCACCATGTCTGGCTTTCTTTCTGTTTATATTCTTATGGTCACATTTCTGGCATTTTTAATATGGGAAGATGACAGACTATTAGAAGAATTACAGTGATCTCTTATGATGAGAGCTTTTGCAATTGGATTTTTTGCTTGTTTTTTGCATTTTCTCCATCTTAACTCTTTGAACAACTCTTGTAAATTATAATTTCTTATTTTTCCCATTCTTGGAGTTTAACTTAATTTTATTTGGAGCCATTTTTTTCCATAAGGAATATAAATTCAATATATGACAAAATTCAATAGCAAGCTAGAATTTAGTGTTCTAACAGCTGCCATTTATTCACATATATGTATTTATCAACATATATTGAATGATGGCTTCATTTTTCATTCATAAATCTTATAAAAGAGTACAAGAGCGTGCCTCTTTAAACCAAGAGCTACAACAGAAATTTTATATTGGGTTCATTAGAATATGTGAATGAGTACTCTCAAGAAGCTAAATAGGGCCATGTATAATTAAAGAAGAGTTTGATCCTGATTCTATTTGTAAGAGATTCCTTGTATCGCAGCAAATAAATGGATAAATATATTTTTATTTTGGTATTTCAACTGTTTTCACATGTCTTTGAAATGTGGTGGTAGTGGCCACAAGTAAGATGTTATAGTCCTGTTTACACAGATTTGAGAATACTGAATAGTTCCCTTCCCCACTCTCCCACTCTGGTCTGTAAAGGAGAAAGAGTTACTTGTCCTTTATTTATCTATCATGGGACTTTTTCCTTTATCATGTGCCTTTTCTTTTTTCTTTTTGGTACCAGGAATAGAACTTGGGACCTTGTGCTTGTGAGGCAGGTGGTGGAACCACTGAGCTAAGTCCCCAGCCCCTTCTTTTTTCTTTTTAAACAGATGAGCAATAAGAAACAAAATATTAACTGGACAAAAATGAGAGTGGAGAATTAGTGGAGAACACACATCCTTATTAATTTATAGTTATAAATTATAAGTAGATTTAAAACAGGTAACCAAGCAGGTGTGCTGCTGCATCTCTAATTCCAGCACTCTGGAGGCTGAGGCAGGAGGATCATAGGGGGTTGAGGCCAGCCTGGACTACATAATGATTTCAAGGCTGGCCTGAAATACATAGTGAGACTGCTGGAAAAAAGACAAAGAACAAAATCAAGAAATGCTGACAACTTATACAAAGAAATGCTTTTTTTTTTTTTGAGATGGTCTTGCAGGCTGAATTATAGTGCTGGGATTTCAGGCTTATACCACACAACAAGCTCAAAAAGTGCATATTGCCTGGGCTGGAGATACAGCTTTTGGTAGACCTAGCATACTTGAGGCCCTAGATTCAAGCTCAGTGCCACCACCCTCCCTCAAAAAAAAAAAAAAAGCCTGTTGTGATTATAATTATTGTAAAATATTTTTCATATTATTTGACCCCTCTATATAGATAGTTATATATCTGATCCAAATAAAAGTAATGAAATCTGTGGATAATTTAAAAACTATACTTAACTGCAGTTATTTAGTATTTCATGAGATGCTCTTCTGCAAGTCAGGTGAGCTCACAAATTTGCTGAGGCAAATTTCAGCCAAAAAAGAATTTTTCTTGGGCTGGGGATTTAGCTCAGTGGTTTCTCCGCCTGCTGCGCAAGCGCAAGGACCCAAGTTCGATCCCCGGTACCAAAAAAAAAAAAAAAGATTTTTTTTTTTCTTTAGTAATCACTCCACCACCACCCCACCCCTACCCCCACATGGGGCGGGGGGAAATGTGCTGGCCAGGTAGGTGCCCCCCCCCCTTTAAGAGACTAAACTGGCCTCAGACTCGTAGGCCCAAGGGATCCTTCTGCTTCAGTCTCCTAGTAGCTATAACTATAGGCCCAGGCCACTGTGTCTGAAGCTGTGTGTGCACACTAGGGATCAAACCCAGGGACCAAGCACCCTGCCAGGTTTGTGTGTGTGGTATGTGTATGTATGGTACTGGGGATTGAACCTGGGGTCTTTGCATTCAGCTACATCTTCAGCCCTTTATTTATTTTTTGGGGTACCGGGAATTGAACTCTGGACTCCATTCGCGAGGCAGGCAGTGGCACCACTGAGCTCAATCCCCGGCCCTAGCCCTTTATTTTTTTTAAATTTTGAGATGGTCTCAACTAAGTTGCACAGAATGGGCTCAAATTTGGGATCCTCTTTCAGCTTCCCAGAGTGTTGGGGTTACAGGTGTGTACCTCTCCTGCCCTTCAGGGTTTCTTAAAGGGATATCATACTTGAAACTGATTAACCTTAACTTGATTTTATTTTTTTAAAGATAAAAACAGTTTTAGCTGGGTGTGGTGGCACATGCCTGTAATTCCAGCACTTAGGTGGCTGGACAGCCTGGGCTGCATAGTGAGTCCAAGGGCAGCCTGAACAACATAGTGAGAACCTGTCTCAAGAAACCAAAACAAAACAAGATAAAAGCAGTTTTTAGGGCTGGGTATTTAGCTCAGTGGCACCATGTCTGCCTTGCCAGCACAAGGTCCTGAGTTCGATCCTTGGTACTGGAAAAAAAGTAATTAATGTATTTACTTATTTATGGTGCTAGTGAAACCCAGGGCCTCCTGAGTTCTAGGTAAGCCCTGTACTACTCAGCTATACCCCTAGCTCTGATAAAAGATTTAAAGGCCACTGTATAAAATAAAATGTTACTTTGAGCCTGTTAACTTCCTTTTTCATTTTCTTTTTTGTGGCAGCTCTGGCTGTGGAAATTGACATATTACAGTAACATTACATATCGCACTTTAAGATACCCTGACTTTCAGACATATTAAATAAAAATTTGCTTACCTAAAGAAGGACCCAGCCAATATACTATAAAAAATCGAGGAAAAGCTTCATCAAAACATATGAAATGAAGTGAAAGTGCCAAAGCTGGATTAAATAGAGCTCCTGTTAGACTTCCTCCTGTAATACATTTTAAGCAGAGTGATTCCAAACAGTGTATTTTATATTTTCTTGTACCTGTAAATCAATGGGTTATTCAGTTCAACTATTTTTAGATACTTAAGTATTCTTTTTTTTGGCGGGGGGGTACCGGGGATCAAACTCCGGTCCTTGCGCTTGCACAGCAGGTGGTGAAACCACTGAGCTAAATCCCCGGCCAAATATTCTTATTCTATGATATTTCTTTGCAGACTCAACCAGCATAGAGTGTAACAGATAGGATTATAAAATGCTAGATACAAAAAAAGACAAATGATATTAGGAGTTTAAACTCAGCACTTCTCCTGTGTGCTATAAAATGCACATTGGAAGTTAGTGTCCTCTATTATTGTTCCAACAGTTTTGACTGCTCTTAACATTCATCAGTTTGAATAAATTAATGATGATAAAAATAAAATGAAAATACAGTTAAAATGTGCATAATATCTCAGGGTCCCCATGGGCATAAGCATACCTTTGTATTGAAAACAAAAAATAAAATGGACTAAAGCATTATCATTCGTTCTGTTTTTACTTGTTAGCAGCAGAGTCCCTAAGAAGTGGACTCTTAAGGGCAGGTGTGGTGGTGCACACCTGTAATCCCAGCACTTAGGAGGCTGAGGCAGGAGGATCACCAAGAGAACAAAAAACAAAAGTGACTGGTACATCTCAGTCAAGTGTTTATAAAACCAGAAGTGACTGTGAGTGGTCATGAGAGATAAGCACAAATTTTAATTGTGACTTTTCAGGACTCATGCTCCAGCTCTATACCCATATTCCAACTCTGATATGGGGCCCAGGAGTTTCTACTTCTGGCTACAGCAGGAAAGGAAAGGCAGGGGAGGCTGGGTGACTGACTGTCCAGCACTACCAGACCTGTGGCTGTGCTTTTCTCAACCCTACAAGCCTCCCTAAGACAGTGACATTCTTGGTAGTTCCTCTGGTTGGAAGCCTAAGGGAACACATCTGCCTCTTCCTTCAGGCACAGAGACAGATTCCAAGAGCTTCAGAGTTGAAAACTACAGTATAATGTCTTCATAAACTGGAGTAAAGTGAAAGTGGAAATTAAGTGACCCTTTCATATTTCACCAATGAAGTTTCACACTGGATGGGCTGAGAACAATGAAGCTATGTTGAGATGAAGATACTGAGCAAAACAGCTCACTCAATGACTTTTTCCTAGCATACCAGCCTGACAGCATGATTCATATTCATGTCCCAGCAATTACAAATGATGTGTCATGGACCTTCAGAATCATCCTTGAACAGTCAAATCCTGGATTGTAAACCTGCAACTGCCATGGGTTAACAGAATTGTTTAGTTGGCAGCTGGTCAGTAAGTCCACAGAAAATTGAGTTCCTAGGTCTAGTACCATGGGGAGAAAGATTAAGGCTCACAAATTTTTATGAGCTATGATAATATAAGTGAACTATGAACTAAACCATTCCCCTTAAGGTTACTTCACCTCAGTACTGTGGGCCAGGGTATACTGAAGACTTTCTGTTATAAGATGAACATTATGTCATTCTCATATCATTCTAAAACTTGAGCTTTCCTTATCTTCTAATCCTCACATCACTGTTCTGTTCAGTGTGAATTGGCAGAAGCTGTTCCTCCTACCAAGCAGTAGCCTATCCAGAGGACTCGGATGATGGCTGGCACCAACTGCCAGACACATAAGTGAGGGTACCATAGCTTTTCCAGCCCCACGACTGAATGCAGCTGCCTGAGTGACCTCAGATCTGCCCATCTAACTCAGAATTGTGAAAGATAATAAATTACTGTTAAGTATTGGAAGGGTTTATTACAGATAAAACTGAAAAGAAATCCACATCAGGCATGGGTTCCATGTTAACAAAAGCCCCAAACATGGGCTTTGCTGTTTCACCTGATACATCTTTGTTGTAGGGAGCTGTCCTGTGCACTATAGAATGTTTAGTGGCATCCCTGTCCCCTACCTAGTATGATGCCAGTGGCATACTTCTCTCCCCATACCATAACAAAAATGTTTCCAGATATTGCCAAATGTTCCCTGGCAGCAAAGTTTTCCCTAGTTGAGAACCACTGTCCTGGAGAAACACTGGAATTTGTATATAAGAAGACATTTGTTTATAGTGACAACTGGGTAAAACCTAAAAGTCCATTCACAGAAAAGTAGCTAAGTAAACAAGTTTATTATTACTTTGGAATATCATGAAATATTTTGAGATAATGAGCAAGTCTCTCTACTAACATAGATAAATCACTGAACAACTACCACCAAAAAAAGCACAATGTAAGATGTAAGATGGGTCAGCTTTCTGTCACAATGACAAAATATCTGAAAAACAACTTGAAGCAGGAAAGGTTTATTTTAGCTCACAAGTTTCAGAGGTTTCAGTCCATGGTCAGCTAGCTCCATTCCTTTATGCCTTTCATCAGGCAGAGACCTGGCAAAGGGCTGCATGGAAGGAAAGCTGCTGGACTTGAAGCCAGGAAGCAGAGCTAGAGAAAAAGGAGCTGTGGACAAGATGGTCCCCAAGGACACACCTCCATGACTCATTCCCTTCAACCAGGCCCCACCTCCTAAATTTCTATCACCTCCCAATATTGCAGTCAAATTATGAGTCCATTAATGGATTAAATCACTGATACAGTTAGAGCCATCATGACCTAATTACTTCCCAAGAGCCCATCATCTGGCAGCCAAGCACATGGCCTTTAGGGGACATTTAGATCAAAACCATAACATTAGGTATATTTTTATGTTAACATGAACATAAACATATACATAGTTTCATAGAGTAGTATCTGTATAACAAATATATTTAAAGAATATGGAAGAACAATACATACCACACACAAAGATTACTAGTAGCAAAAATAGCCAGAAATGGAGGGGACAAGCATGGAAGGTGACAGTCAAAAGGCACTTAAGTGTTTGTTTTTTATAAAGAGAACACATTCATGTGTTGTATAATTAAACACGACTTATTTAAAAAGAATAATCAGGCACAGAACTATTTGAAAGTGGCTTCAGCAACAAGTTACTATTTATTGGCCTTTGAAGGAAGATCTCATAACAGTGCATGTTGAAGAAGAGGTATCCCTGGGGAGATCTTGCTGGCTGACTCCCTAGAGTCTTAGAGGACAGCGTGAACTTAATGAAATTACCACCACCAAAGATGAGCTTCCAAGTCTGCCAATTCTAGGGCACTAATATTTCTCAATATTTTTAAGGGGAATAAAATTCTGTGTGTCAGAAGGGTATTAGTTACAATTGTGTAAGACTCATGTATAGGCTAGAAGGTCAATTTACAAATTAATAGTGGAAGCTAGTCCTTTCAGTAACCAGAATATTTGTCTTCATCTCCAGGGCACCCAATTCCTGTTAAGTACCCCCTGGAAAGCCAATCTACCCTCAGAAGTCATCTGGTGAGCATATAATCAAACACTATGATGAGGTCTGGTGAAACACCACTGTCCAGAACTGAAAGTATCTCTCAGTGACAAAACTTTTCCCCAGATTCAGTCTCTGCCTGGTGGACAGGGCTCTTAATTACATTTCCAAACATTCCACATTTTATTTCTGGTTCAGGTCCTGTTGATATGCTCCTTTACTAATTAAGCTTGTTAGCTAGCTGATTTTAGGCTATTCTTGTAGACCTGAAGAATGCCATTAACATTTCTCAGAGGTTGGGGGAACATGTAGTATTTGTACAAAAATCATTTAACTGGATGATTTGCAAATTGACACATTCCTATATAAAAGTTGTAAATTAAATTTTCCTGAACTTATCCCCAAAGGACTCGTGAGTATCAAAAGAATCAATTGTGCCAGAATGATCAAGTTATACTACAAGCCTATGAGAAGTTAGTAGGGTAAAATAGTAGTAACAATAACATTTCTTAAGCACTTAGTATATGCCAGATACTATGCTAAGAACTTGAAATACTATTCCTCATACTCTTATGACATAGTGTTATTCCCTTTTTTTCTTTTTTTGGTGGTACTGATGATTGAACTCAGGGCCTTATGCATGCTAGGAAAGTGCTCTACCACTGAGCTATATCCACAGCCCTTTTAATTTGAGGTAGCGTCTTGTTAGCTAGGATCACCTCAAGTTCGAGGCCAGCCTGGACTACACAGTGAGTTCAGGGCCAGCCTAAATTACCAAGCGAGACCCTGTCTCAACAAAACAGAACAAAAACCAAGAGATGGCATCTTGCTGAATTGCCCAGAAACTAATTTCAAACTTTCACTCTTTCTGCCTGAGCCTCCAAGTGTGTCCTACTAAGCCTGGCTTTAGTCTCCACTTTGAAGATGTGCAAACTGAGGCCCATACCTCAGTACATACCTAGTTCAGGGTACAGCCCAACTCTAAACCTGTGCCTTAACCAATATATTATACTGCTATAGTAAAAAAGAAGTATGGGGCCTTTGAAGCTGTCCTTCTTTGTAAATTGTTAATAGCATCTATTTTATATAATTGTTGTGTTAAAAGGGAACACATGTAAAGGACTTAGTTCCTTTCTTTTTTGACAGATAATCTTACATAAATTTATGGCTTACAAGGATACCAAAAATCTGGAATGAAGTAAAACACTACAGTTTCTTCAAAGAATGTATTACTTATATTGAAAGCCCTTGGATATATAATATGGAATACCAGATATGTATTTTATCTGTGTGAAGTTTTTTAAAAAATGAACAAACTGCTAGTTCATTCACTTACTCTAAAAATTCTTACTGCTTATTTTTGTACCAAGTGACAGTATGCTAAGTACTGGTTATACATTATGATGAGTAAACAAATTTGGTCTCTGTACTCAAAGCTTATAATCTGGTTGCAGAAGACAGGCATTATGTCAGAAAATGATGTATAATTTAAAAGTCTACAAGCCAGGTGCAGTGGCACAAGCCTGTAATCCCAGCATTCTGGGAGGCTGAGGCAGGAGGATCACAAGTTCCAAGCCCAACCTGGACCACTTGGCAATTTAGTGAGGTCCTGTCTTAAAATTTAAAAAGAGGGAACTGCAGCCCACTGAAGGTTCTGTGTTAAATCTCCAGCACCACAAAAAATAAAATTCTACAAATTAAAAGTGGTGCAGCAATAAAGACAGCTTACATGCGTAGAATAGCATTTTTTCAATTATCTAATTATGCCTAAAAATGAATGTAATTTTCTTACCCTGTTCATTGAACTAAATACTTCCAAAATCCAAATTAAGGGAGATTTATTTGACATCTGCATCAGTACTTTATAGCTCTAAGAGAGAGGCATAGTGGGGCATACCTGTCATCCTAGCTACTCACACGGCCTAGGTGGGAGGATCACTTGCTCATGAATTCAAGAGCAGCTTGGGGAATACAGGGAGACCTCATCTCAAAAAAAGAGTATATAGCTCTGTTAAGTCACACAACTATTTTTTTAACTTTATAGACAGGCCAATAAATATATGAGTGATAATGATATCAATAGCCTTCGATGCACATAAAATTTTGAGGTTCTGGGCTGGCTCAGTTTTACAGCATGTGTTTATCATATACAAGGAAGCCCTGAGTTCAACCCCAGGACCAAAAAAAAAACACTTGGGCTTCTAAGAATCAATAAATACATACATCATCCTAGGAATTTGTAGCTATGCTGCTAGACAGTTAAATTCTGAATCTTAATCAAAATCATTAATCATTTATTTTGATGTGACCTGTATTGGTGATTCCTGAGTGCTCTCAAAGCCAAGTGATTAAAGAAATTTCAGAGCAGTGCACCTTTGTCGAGTCTGTACTCATACTATGTGAGAAATTTAAAAAGTTATATCAAAATGACTTGTAACAAGGCCTGCTCCAGCCAGCCCTCCTGCCTTATTCCTTTTACATTCTTACATCCTTCCTGTAAAAGCCTCACTTTTGCCTGACAGTACATTCAAGACAGTCCATCCATTCAATCTGGAATAGTTATGACATTTCCACAGAAAATAATGGAGAGTGATATGGTTCAGTGCAGCATTTACCAAATTAGGTTCTCTTCTGTTATATGCCTCGAGACAAAAGCTTGCAAACTGGGCCGGGGATTTAGCTCAGTGGTTCTGGCGCCTGCCTTGCAAGTACAAAGTCCTGAGTTCAATCCCCAGTACCCCCCCCCGCCAAAAAAAAACAGTACCAAAAAAAGCAAAAGTTTGCAAACTGTATGCCATCTCCTCCTCTTGTCCTCCTCTTGGAGTGGCCCATTACATAACAGCACACTGAAAGGCTCTGTAAGTTCTTAAAACCAGAAAACCTAGGGCTGGGGATTTAGCTCAGTGGTTTCACCACCTGCTGCGCAAGCGCAAGAACCTGAGTTCGATCCCCAGTACAAAAAAAAACAAAAACAAAAAAACCCCACCAGAAAACCTATTTAATCCAGACTTGTTTGGCAACAGAACCCTTTTGTGATTTAAAAGGATTTTAATTGTAGCAAAATATATACATAATAAAATGTGCCATTTGGTGTTCTTTACATTCATAATGCTGCTCAACCATCAGGACTTTTTTCCAAGTTTCCCACCACTCCAAAAACTTTTCTAAAAGTTCTCCATCATTCCAAACACACACTTTGTATCCATTAAATAATAATACCCCATTCTTTCCTCCTCCCCAAGCCTTATAACCTCTATTCTACTGATTGACTCTGTGAATTTACCTGTTTTAGATATATCATGAAAGTGAAGTCATACATTTGTCCTCTTGTGTCTGCATAATATTTTCAAAGTTCATCCATGTTGTAGTGTATGTCAGAACTTTGTTCCTTTTTATAGCTAAGTCATATTCAATTGTGTATGCTTTTGTAACTGTAGAAATACTGATAATGAAATGAGTAGGTGCTTTAGCGTGAGTTTGAACTGTGGTTCCAGTATATTCTAGTAGTATAAACGGAGACAATCACTCTACCTCTGAGCCTCACTTATTTACTTAAAATGGGAATAACATATTCATCAGTGGGCTGTGTAAGGATTAATTAAGAAAATCATAAATTTCCTTGCAAAATGCTTTGGTCTATAACATATACTCAATGAATCTCTTATATTGGCAGAAAAGAAAATTACAATGAAGAGCATAATAGATTATGAATTTCTGTAAGTAGTAGTAACCAGCGTTTGTCCATTTGGTTCTACCCTGCGTTCTCTGGCATTGTCCAGTACTGTAGCCACTAACTGCAGTACAGTGTGACTCCTGAACACCTCAAATGTGGCTACTGCAAGTGAGGAATTAATCTTTAATTTTAGCTAATTTAAACCTAAATAGTTACATGGGGCTAACGGCTACTGAATTGGACAATGCAGATCTAGACTCCTAGAGTAGTGGTGCTCAACCTTGGTTTCATAGTGGAATCACCTGGGGAACTTTAAAATATACCACTGCCTAGCCTCTTTCCCAGGGCAATTAAATTTTAATCTTTGGAACCAGAATAGGTATTTTTGTTGTTGTTACCGGGGATCAAACTCAGGACCTTGCACTTGTGAGGCAGGCAGGAGAACCACTGAGCTAAATCCTGGGTATTTTATCCTAGGTATTTTTTTTTTTTTTTTTGGTACCGGGGATCGAACTCGGGTCTTTGCGCTTGCAAGGCAGGCAGTGGAACCACTGAGCTAAATCCCCGGCAATCCTAGGTATTTTTAAAAGCTCCCCAGTTGATTCAAAGCAAAGAGAATGTTGAGAACCACTGCAGTAGTGATTGTTTACTCCCCTCCCCCATTAATTAGTAGCTACATTTCAAGAAAAAAAAAAGGCAGTGTTTGGAATTCCTTAAATTGATATTTTATTGGGCTGGGGATTTAGCTCAGTGGTTCCGCCGCCTGCCTTGAAAGCGCAAGGTCCTGAGTTTGATCCCCAGTACCAAAAAAAAAAAAATTGGTATTTTATTGACTTCTTCCAATAACTTTCCTATATTTATCTGTAACTTCAAACATTATTTCTCTTCTCTCAAAATCTGTCACTATAAAATAGAAAACAGCTGGGCTGGGGATTTAGCTCAGTGGTTCCGCCGCCTGCCTCGCAAGCGCAAGGTCCTGAGTTCAATCCCCGGTACCAAAAAAATAAGTAAATAAATAAAAATAAAATAGAAAACAGCTGATAATATATATGGTGTTATTTATGAAGTTATAACTATGCACTAAAAGTACGACTCTCAGAGGCTGAGGCAAGATGATTGAAAATTCAACCCCAACCTGGGCAACTTAGTGAGAACTTGTTTCAAAATAAAAAATAAAAAGGGCTGGGGTGAAGGCCCTGGGTAGCCAGTACTGCAAAAAAGAAAAATATATATATAAAAAAAGACAAGAATACCAATTTCATGATAACAGGAGGAGGAGGGACAGAGGTAAAGATCCAACTGTAGTTAATGTTTTACTTTAAAAATTTGTAAATTTTTACTGCCTTTTTTTTGAGACAGGGTCTCACTCTGTAGTCATTTGTTGCTTTTAATTGTACAACTACAGAAAAAGAACTAAACTGTGGCATAACTCTTTACTAGGGACAGTTCTGTTCATATACAGTCAATTTTTCTGCTTTAGCCAAAACCTAAAACTTTGGCAAGGAACTGTTCTCCACTCCTTTTCTCCTATACCATTTATTTTCATCAGTCTACCTTTTAAAAAAATGGTGCTATATCTAAAGAAGGGAAAATGGATTGGGAAATCTCTCATAAATCAAACATGTTTAAGAGTCCTTACTTTGAGATTTGCATATAGTGCTCCCCCCTTTTATTGCTAGGGCTCAAACCCAGAGCCTTGCACATGCTAGACAAGCACTCGTCACTGAGCTACACTCCTAGCCCTTTAGTTTGACTTTTAATGGGCAGAAGATGGACTATCACTATAAATTTCCTTTCCTATATTCATGCCTCAAAATGCTTTATAAATCGGATACAATCCCAGTAAAGTTATTTGTTGCAGTCATTTTAAATGATATGCGTCATCATTTGTTTCTTGTATTTCTTTTTTTCCCCACTACTGGGGATTGAACTTAGGACCTTGTGGTTGCGAGGCAGGCATGGTGCCACTGAGCTAAATCTAGCCCTGTTTCTTGTATTTCTTTGGGCTATTTAGAGTATATACTCACTGTAACTGAAGTATATCAAGGTAAATAAATGGCCTATTGATTTCTCAAGTTACTTGTTTTTAAAAAGCATTTTCAACTTCAAACAAGTTTTAATTTTAAAACATCTTTCTTAATAGGCTGTTTACAAGTTCATTTGTAACTCAAGATGAATTATTATGGAAATAAGAAATGACAAGTAATTTCCAGGAAAAGGAACTACAGAATTTCTACTCCCCACTCTTAACTACTGTGTGTTTAAGTAGGAAGGAACTTTTTAGACCTGGGATAGATTTTCAGTAGAGTGTCAGAAAGGATCTGTACCACCTTGGCATGAAAAAAGGTAACTGATAAGTTGTCTTTCCTTTTTAACTTTGAAACAATCCCTTCGTAGGATATCTGAACCTTTGGCAATATCTAACAGGATCTCATTTTCAGCACAGAAGCGGCTCCCTTACCTGGGTGTCCAAAAAAAGCACTTCATGAAGGAAGGATCTATACGTTGGCCTTATCAGTTAAGAACGGGGTGCAAATTAAAATAATCAAGGCTGGGGTGGCAATATTTATATCACAGCGCTGCAGGGGTTTCACATGTATCTTGATAAAGAACTTAGAGTTTCAGGTCATAGAGGTTCAGGTCGGACGTGCCAAGTGTTTTGTGGGAATGACAAACCTGCGTAGGCCAAAAAGGTGATGAGTGCAGCCAGCAAGTGGATACGAAGCTTGGCTCGGACCTCCTGGAAGTACAGCAGAGCGCAGTGGAAGATAAAGGAGCACATGGCCTCTGTGATAACCGCCTTGGCCAAGTCAGCATGGATGGGATTGTGGCAAGTGAAGCTCCTCTCGTTAAAGTGATACTGAGTCAGACCCAGGCTCCACAGGGCGCGCATGCAGTACCTGCTGCACAGGGCGCTCAAGAGCTGAGCTAAGAACCTCGTCGCCCCCATCTCAGGGGACATCCCCCCCAGCATCACCTGCATCATCAGGCTGCACGGGTTGCTGGAGGTGCCCACCAGAGTGAGGCCGTGCACCAGTGAGAAGAAGTAGATGAGAGTCAGCGTCCAGGTGGGGTGCGCGGAGTCCTGCTCGCTCAGCAGCAGTAGCTCGTGGGTGCAGCAGCAGATCTGAAAGGTGGCTAGAAACTCCAAGATAAAGGCGTGGGCCGCGGGCCTGTGGAGCTCCTTCCGAACGATCGAGCGTGCCAACCCCATGAACAGCACGACCGACAGCATCAGCCCCAGCGAGGCGCAGCTGTCGCGCAACTCGGGCCGCAGCCCCGGCAGCGGGGACATGGCTCCCCCGCTCGTCCGCCCGCACCAGCACCAGCGCCAGGACCGGCCGGGCCGGAGTTCCAAGTCCGCCGCCCTGCCCCTCCTCACGCCCCGGGGCTGGCGGCTGGTGGCGAGCTAAGGCTCCTCCCCCGCTTCTCGGCTCGGCGATTGGGTATTGGGGACGGGGCAGGTGAGAGGCGGTGGGGGGAGCTGAGCTTGGCTGCTGAGCTGAGGGGCAACGGTCGGCCGAGCCCGACACGCGCGCGTCCTCCGCTTCCCTCCGCGCTTGACGCGGGCGTGGGTAGGGTCGGGTGCGGTGGGGTGGGAGCGAAACCAGTGCCCCTTGAGGCACTGCGCACGCGCGCTCCTGCCGGCTGGCCGCGGGGTGCGGCAGTGCAAAGCAGCAGGACCAAGACCTGGGCCCTAAAGGCGAGCGCTCCGGATTCGCGCTGGAGGTGGCTGTGCAAGCGTTGCTCGAACTTTCTCTTTCTGCGCACCCGAAACTAATACATTGGGCTGGAATGACCCCTAAAGACATCTCAGCAGCCACCCTGTTTTTATTGATGGGGCGCCCGAGATTGAGAAGGCGGGTGCAGGGCAGGGTGGAGGGGTGCTTTAGTGGGAGGAGACTTGGGAACAAGGTTTGACCTGGGTAGGGGAGTGCTACAGGGTCTTTGAACCTTAGTTTTCTTATAATTCTACTGTTTTGTAATTGTGTTAATGTGTACATATACATAGTTATTTTAACGCATATAATTCAGTGACATTAATTACATACTCCTGTTGTACAGTCATCACCAGTTTCCAGAATTTGAGCGGTAGTTCTTAGAAATAATGTCCTCAAAATTTATATTGGCTTGAATTATTTAAATGTAATAATATGAAACGTTTCTTATATACACTGTGTCTCATGTGGAAAAGAAACCCCAAAGTACAACTGTGGAGAGGTCCACCAGGTAGCGTAGTGGGTCAGATCACCTACCTCTGATTTGTTTATAAAAGCATGAAGACTGTAGCACAGAACCTAGCTCACAGGGAGTGCTGAGTAAGTTGAAAGAACAAGATTCTATAGCTTGAATGCAAGAGCCCATGGCTGTCACTCCACACCCAACAGCTCACCTGTCACCTGAGGAGGTTCCGCAAAGAGGAAGTGGAGGACCTCAACTCACCCCTCCCGTGGAATAAGTTTGCTGACAGAAAAAGAATTTTCAGACATGTCAGGATGTATGCAAAATATTTATTTAACAGGGAAAAAGTATACAGAAGGAAGTGCAGGTGTTTGGAGAGTGAGATGCATTATTGTCTGGAGATGGGTGTATTTACGTGTTCCTGGGGCTGTCTTCCAGATGGTTATGTAGGCTGTGTATTTTTATTGTCAGATTACCCATCTGGTGGGCTGTTAGGATGTGTTTGAAGTTGAGACATGCTGCCCACTTAATCGTCCTGCTTCCTTGAGGAGGGAGGTCTGGAAAGAAGAGCACTGTATAGGTGAAAAGCACAGGCAAGCACCCAATTTTCAGACTTATTGTGTCCTTAAGACCCCAAGAGGGCCAGGGATTTAGCTCAGTGGTTCTGGCGCCTGCCTTGAAAGTGGAAGGACCCGAGTTTGATCCCTGGTACCAAAAACAAAAACAAAAACAAGACCCGTAGAAATTTTTCTTTGAAGTGAGTTCCTTGGAAGGGAAAAGGACATTATATCCTTGAGTAATTTTTTGTGTTCTGAGGCTGTAATTTTTCTTTAAAAGAGAATTTTAAAATTACAGTTTTCCTTGTCTCCTTTCTACTTTGCATCCTATGTGAAAAAGAAACAAAACATAACTCTGGAGAGGTCCACTTCATAGAGTAGTGAGTCATATGAGCCACCTTTAATTTGTCTTTGAAAGCATGAAGACCCTTTAGCACAGAGCCTTGCACACAGGAAGTGTTTGTTTAGTAAGTGGTAGCTTAGAGCTGAAACTGCAGGTTTCAATAGTCAGTGGCTTTTGCCATCACACCCCACTCCTAACTCACCCATTTATGGTGGCCCACTCTGTGTGCAGAGAGAAGAGTATGCTGGGATTCCTCACACCTTGCACCTGGAAAAGTTTTGTGCCGATAAAATGGTGTCATTAGTGTGGCCTTGCATCAGCAGTGCCCAGCCTAAGGCCTGTCCCCTGCAGGCTGTTGTTCACCAGGGTCAGGGGGCTGGAGGGAAGGGAGAAAGGAAGGAAAGTGAGAGAGGAATCAGGTTTTGATGGGGCCTCCCTAGTTTCAGAGTCTGTTGTTTTATAATGAAATGAAAGTTCCCTTTTTGACTCTTAAGATTTCTATGGTGCCAACAGAAATTTTTTAAGTTTTTCAGAACTAAAAAAAAAATCTGTTCTTTTACAAAATATGAATTAGGCAGGAAAATGAAGTCCTTTTCTCTTTCTTGTGTGATAGAGTTCTCTACAAGACAAAATGGCCCCAATGGTCCTACATTCTAAAGTTGCTCCTGTTCCTAAAATGGTTCCTGCTTATGGAAATGAACCACTTTGGCGGGGTGGGGGTGAGGAGCCGGAAAAAGAGGAGGAATTTAAAATATAGTGTAAAGTACAGTGGTAATAGAGTGGGCTGTAGGGGCACAGGCATGGGAACCCCACTGAGACTTCAGGAAAGGGTCCTTGAAGGAAGCAGCATCCTAGCAGAAACCTGAAGTTTAAGAGTTAAGAGGTGAAGAGAAGGGGAGAAAAAAAGAAAGGGAGAGGTACTGCATTTTTCAAAGTTCCGGAGAAAAAACCCAGGGCAGTGAGGACATTCACAGATGGAGAGTGTGTTGTGCCCAGATTGCGAAGTCCCCAAAGACCACCAAGGGGCCGATTCCGATGCAAATGCACTAGGGTTGTTTATTCAAGCTTGAGCAGGGACTCACAACCATCACCGATGCAGCAGATCAGGATTGAGAGCCCCGAATTTCAAATTAGCGGGGTTTTTATAGAGGTTACAGCAAGGTTTGGAGATTTTCCACTTAGCAGTTACATGATTGGTTAACAGTTAGCAAGCATGAAGTGTACATTTCTGATTGGCTAGGTTCATCGGGGGGGTTGAGGGGCAGTTACATGTAGGTTTTACGAGGGAAATGAGGGACAAAGGTTAGTGGTCGACTGTCACGTACTGATGGTCAGCAGACACACTGACTAATAGTCACGACCATTACGTACTGACAGTCAGCACATCTACAGATTTTTCTATGGATAGGGGGTCTGGAACGTTCTTTTCCTAGGCAAACAGATGGTTGAGTAATTAGGAACTTTGCTTCGGTACAGATTGTGTCTTTTGTCCCAGAGCACACACATTTTAACCATTAATTTGTGAGAGGCTAGGGGAATAGTGGATTTTAGCAAAATGGAGTCACTTTGGTCTCACATTCCCCCCTTCTCATGATGCTATAGAGGACCAATCATGGGCCTCTGGGGGTTAATTTTATTAGGTCTGCAGAAACTGGCTGGTACTGGGACCTGAGTACCATTAGCTGTACAGTGTTAATGTGTTCTCTAATGAATGAAACTAATCTATTGAGTATACAAGGTCCAAGGGTTAACAGTAGTAACAGAATAAGCAAGGGGCCCAGTAGAGTAGAGATCAGAGTAGTTAGCCATGGGGAGGAATTAAACCAGGATTCAAACCAACTTTGAGTTTGTTCTCACTCTCACTTTCGTCTAGTGAGACTTTCTCTAGCCTTTGCCATAGATTCTTTGACCACTCCTGAGTGGTTTATATAGAAACAACATTTTTTCCCCCAGGGCAGCACAGAGCCCTCCCTGTTGTAGGAAGATTAAATCTAGGCCTCTTTTATTCTGGAGCACCACTTCCGCTAGGGAGGTTGATGACTCTTGAAGGTGTGTGATGGAGTTTTCAAGTCTCTCTATATCAATATCTATGGCAGCCCTCAGATCATTATAATGCTTGTTTTATAAGACTAAAGAGGAGACCCTAGTTCCTGCTCCCGCCAAGCCCAGGTCTAGGAGTACTGTCAGGGTGATTGCTGTTATGGGTTCCCTTTTTACCCGACTGGGGGGCCCCACTAAATGAGCTAGGTGAGTATAAACTTCCTCCTCTGAATGATACAGCAGTCTAGGTACTAATTGCACGAGCACACGAAAGTCCTTAGTCCGATTGGGTACTCCTCCATGTACACATGGGGTGAGCCCAGTAGAACATGCCCACCAACCATCTGAAGGGGTTACGAAATATTTTTCCGAACTAGACTGATAGGTTTGGCTGCAAAGGTGTTGATGAGTGGCTGGAACACTACCAACACAAACTCCCATCCAGTCACAGATTGTAGGGTTAGCCTGGCTGTCCCCTTCTGTTGCCACCTGCATAGAGTAGGACTGTCTGACTCAGTAAAGTTTCCTGAGAAAGCTATTCCCTCATAATAAGGGGGCTTAATGTCATAGCATAGCCAACAAGACCGGGTAAGATCAGGTCTGGATGTATTTAGGGCTTTAAAAGTTCTGACCATAAGCTCCCAGAGAGGGTCGTCTGGGTTCTGGTCCTGCTCTGGGTCCTCAACAATTTTAGTAACACTTCGAGAGGGAAACTGAGGGGTGGTTTCTTTTGGGGGGCTGGTTGGCCTGAATAGAATTGGAGGCACTAAAGCTTGGTTAGGCCCTACAGGATGAGAGA